CTTGTGGCTAAAATTAAGGGGATGTTGCTCTAGAAAAGTTTTAGCCTTTGTTTAAAAATGTTTGTATGTTTTTCATAAACTGAGGGCTGACTACTGACATTAAGCTTAAGGATTATATATTGTACGAGTGTAAAGAAAGAATTAAAGAAGAAAGGACTCATCATATTAAATGTTATCGATATATCAAATGAAAATTGGGGGTGCTGCAGTTCTACAGTGCCTATACGCGAGCCGCCACATTTGGTAAATGTTCAAGTATATATCTCATTTGTTCATCTTCCAGTCTCCAATTTTCAAGATCTAAATGAACGAACGCCGATTTTATAATACGTAAACTGAAATACAAGTAAATAGAAATATCTTCATTATTCTCTCACGAACTCGTACATGAATACAGAATTCGAAGTAATAGTAGCAAAAGTTTTCCGCGATTATCTTGGAAACTAAAGACTTGCGGTGACAAGATATACAGGAGAAGGTTGTTCAAAAGCATGTCCTTAACAACATATTTCAAAATCATTACAATCAATTAACAAATTGACCTTCAAATCGTCCGTAGTCCTAGTGTCAACGTCAGAACTGCATTTCCATTTAAATGCGACAAATCGTTTTTATAAAATAGAAGTAGAATTCGAGGGAAGTGTCGTGTCAAGTTCCTACGCCTTACGCCATGGGTCACACGACTTAGATGCGAACAGGCGTGAAAGTAATTCAAATTTCTTTAGGCGAGGTGCAAAGCGTTGATCGTCGCAAATGTGCAACGCTGCTCGCGAACGGTTTAATACGTTGAATGTCGTAGGGGTCACCGGTGACCCCCAATCAAATCGAATTACTGTAATTCGCTCAATTAAACGACGATTATTTAGAAATATTTCTATATTATAAATAATGCTACTTAATGTGGTGATGTTCAGCTAGATGAATGTGCGATAATAATAACGCAATTCAATCAAATGATTTAACCCCTTAACGCACAGTTTTTTTGAAAAGAACCGGCCAAAAAAAATCAATTTTAATATATTGCGCTTTTGTTCTATGGAAAAAGGCTATATTTTATTCTTGAATAAATAAGAGTTATAGCTTACAATCCCATGTAAATGATAAATATCAATAAAACGATTTTTTTTCTTTGCTTTCACATTGTTATTTTCACAGTTTGGCCTGTTTAGCGCGCTCGAATTAACTCGAGCGTGCAAGTTAAGGGGTTAATATTATATTTTTTCCATTTTGTGTATTTTGCTCTATGAAATCGTGCGGCGTTCAACGTATTAATGGATCGACTATTGCGTGCCGGCGTCGACATCGATTTCCTTTCAATCTCGTTCGCGTCCACGTGTTCGTGAGCGCTGCACCGTGCCGCGTTGACGCTGCGCTGGCTGTTGCAAAAGGAAGAAAGATCTGCGCGGCCGAAATGGGCGTAACTGAAGCGAACGCGCTTCGACGCGTCCCACGATCCGCTCGCGATCCCGCGCTGACATTTCTACGACGCCGACCGCGCAACCTGGAAACGGGGACCGCTCCTGGATTCGTTGGTAAATTCACGGCAAACGTAAACCACGGGGTCTAAGGAGCAATAACGAGTTCGAGACTCGATTCGGAGTCGAATTCACCCTTCGCAGCACGATTTAATCATGAAACATGGCGCTCGAACGAAGAATTTTATTTCTACTAAGGCTGTTTCTACCGAAAGTGCTAAATGGCACCTCTTGATATTTCATCTAAACATTATTGTCTCAGTTTAATACTAGAACTACCTAGTATTTCTTTATAAAATGTATAAAAATACATTTATCGAGTGTCCACTTTCCTTATATTCTAGCTTGTATTTATCTAAATCAATTCATTGAATAATTCCTCAGAAAATCGCCTGTGCCTTTTCCATAATTGCAAAGGAAGCGACACGAAATGGATCATTTTAACCCATTTGGTGGTTCTAGTGTTAATCATTTTTCCTCAATTGAATCTGAGATATTTTCTACAGATAATTTTATAATCGTTATTGGAAAAGTCGAAAAGTTAATTTAAAATATATGACTACACTTGGAGACAACTTGTTAACTAAAAGAATGTTAACACTAGAACTACCAAGCACTGAAATTGACTTTTCGAAATTCCTGTATAGAAAGTGCAAGAGTGCATCTATTAAAACTTTAATTGATTTACGATTTAGATTGCGTATTACCAAATTAATTTCTTTAATAACTTCTCAGAGAAGAATCTGTTATGTTTGTAATAATCACAAAAGAGAGAAATTAGGAATGATTCATTTTGACCTGTTCGGTAGTTTTAGTGTTAATTAAAAGTAATCTAGCAAGGTACTACTAATTATTATACCAATGTATTCTTAATTAGGGACTGTACAAATTTTGTATATGTAGAAACATGTTACTTGTAACTTTAGTTTCATGACAAGTACAGCTCATTGTACGGTTTGATAGGAAAAACTAATGACGAGATATAAAAAGCAATGAACTATATTTCATTCATCGGTTAGCAATAACAAAGAATGATAAAAAAAAATTTGTATAATAATAGAGTACTATATTTGAGAATATCTCGAGGAAGATGCAACGATCTTTCATCCTTTATTCAAGGTGAAAAGATTCGTTTTACGGCTCGAGACGAACGTCTCGATAAACAGTTCTGACGCTAAATTGCGCATCGGTATTAAAATTGATTACAATTATATTTATCATAAGGCAACTCATTCCCATTTGTATTCGTGGCCGAGAAATCAGCAAGTTGACAGGCTGAAGATGAAAGATTGCAATAAAGTGCAGTGCCGGACGGTGTGGTACTTTTACTATCCGTCTTTGCATAATATGCAGATAAAACGCGCAGTGAAGTCATCGGCTAGAGATGTTTTAAGTACAGAAGAAAGAGACACTTATGCCGCTCATTACACACGGTGTCCTTTGTCTTCCGAGTACTTGTGCAATCAACGGAGAAACGGTAAATATTGAATCTACGTACGGCTATCGGCAGATGGAAAATCACATACATACTTTTGCCGCCTCTCATTGTGCATCTTTCGCTGTGCTTCGATGGGAAACGCATAGAATCATCCGCGAAGTCGCGAGTCATTGACATTTCACGGAAAATCCTGTGTCTTTTGGTTGCTGGATGGATTCACGAAAGAACGACAAATATTGGATCAGCATATATGCAGTAATCATTCTCGGGCACGTGTTAATAACACGTTCACCGACGCGTCAGCCGTGTATGAATGACACGGTGCTTGATTTAAACGAAAAAATTGGTTTCTACGGTGAGCCAAATTTCATTCAGACGGAGGATACAAATTTCTTGTATCCGGTGGACCCAAGTACCATTATGTCATCAGGTTAAGAATAAATATTATTTCTTTGTGATTGAATGCCGTTGCAATGGCGGTTTCAAGCTTTTGAGGTTTAAGATTGAGTAATAAATAAAACGTGTTCGTAAAATTAATTGAGGACTCTATACTTTAATAGTACCTCGGTCATTAATCATTGACAGTTCAATTATTCCTTATCCCAATAGTTAACACCAATAATCAATACATCAGTTATTAATCATTGATAACTTAATTATCCCTAACCCCAATCATTGATCCCAATAATCACTGTTCTATACATCAGCACTAGATATAATGACGGACGTCAGTGTCCTAATTTTACAATTACCGATGTTTTAAAAATATGAAATATCCAACAATGATTTTGAAAATAAATTGTTTGCAATTTTTTGAAAATAAATTGTGAATACTACAGATGCATTCTTTTATTCGGAAGTGCCGGTCATTTGTTAACCCTTTGTACTTCAGAAGTGTTTCACTCTAAACTCAACATTCTCCAATGAAATACAGACGACACTTTCCGAAACTAACTCGAAATCGCACAAAGATGGTGGAACAAAACAATTTTATCTCAATATTTCACATATTGATACATTATAGAAAGTTCAATATTAACCCTTTGCACTCGAAAATTGTTTCGATAGATGTATTCTTCATTTTCTAATGAAATATCTATGATAGGTTTCATAACTAACATTAATATAAATAATATAGAAATCAATGGATAAAACTATCATATTTTAACGTTTCATGGATAATTACGTGAAATGAACTTTAATATTGTACATCAAACTTTGTTACTTTGCTGTATCAAAGCAAATGGCGACTGTGAGTCGCCTCTCGAGTGCAAAGGGTTAAATATTAAACTTCACAACTTTGCTATGTCAAATTGTGACTGAGAGGAGCCTCTGTAGTGCAAAGTGTTAAACCTTTGCGGACGAAGATACTGAATATACAAAACCTTCAGCAGACAAAGCCAAATTGTACACCGGATGCTTAAATAATACTTAAAACTATTTAAAACCGCAGGTGATCGCAGAATCGGACAATTTCAAATCAGCAACGCAGTCCGTCCTATCGTTGCCGGAAGGGTTGAGAATGATATGGATTCTATGGTCCTATTACTCACCCTAAGACAAGCTGCTAGCGAACGCGTTAAAACGTTGAATGCCATGGGGGTCACCGGTGACCCCCAACCAGATCGACTTACTATAGTTCACTTAATTAAACGACGATTATTCGAAAACGTTTCTATATTATAAATAATGATACCTAATGCGGTGACATTCAACTAGATGAACGCGCAATAATAATAATACAATTCCATCAAATGATGTAATATTATATTTTTTCCGTTTTGTCTATTTTCCTCTATGAACCGTGCGGCATTCAACGTGTTAATCGCGAAAGAACGGTCAACCGTTGGAAGTTTCTATTCCCATTTCCCGTGCAGGGCGACGCCGAATTTTCGCGGAGGCGCGGCTTCCGAGGCGACCACGGAATTCCTCGGTGTGTCCCGCGTAGAGATGGCTCCGGCGAGGCAGGTGAGAGGTGGAAAGCGAAAGAAAGGTAAGAGGGAGCCCGTTTGATCCCTTCCACGGGTCGTCGAGGCGACGAGAGAAGAAGACTCGCGGAGGCGATCGCGGCGGTGTCCCGCACAGTGCATCGGCTGCTCCATCGGCCGGACGTTCGCCGTCTCTCCGAGTGAAAAGCCTCCTCCTCCTTCCTTCTCGGGCGTTCTATACTCAATGCGACGTGCAACAAAATGCCGATCAGCCTCCGTACACTGTGTAAGTGCGAGATTTTCACGAGAATCGAATTTCGACCGCGATCCGGCTCGAGGCCGCCGCCGCCGCCGCCGCTGCCGCGCTGTCGCGCGCGCGCAATCGCCTCTCGTGAAATCGGATTACGCGTCCAACACGCGTATCCGTGTGGCCATCGGCTATTTCGATCGTACGGTCATCTTATTTTGCGTATCGTTGACCGATAACGTGGACAAGTGTCGATATTTGGTGCGAAATATACACGATCGACGCGTTTCGTTGCATTCGCGTTTCCGTTCGATGATTTTCTTGTCTGTTATTCGACGACGATTTGTGTTTTTGGGGATGTAAGTGGGACATACGGGGTTTTCAGGGATGCGTTGACGCGTTGTAGAGATCCTTTTTGAAGGTGGTTTCCTTTTTTGAGGTTCATTGGATTTGGTTTTGAGGCACTGCTTTGTAATTATGGTTTCTCGATTCGTTTTTTGTATGTATAGATTTCATTCGAAGTGGAAGAGTTGAGACTTTTAGCGGATTGTCAAGAGTTTTCTTGATCTTTGATGGAGGTGACCTTAGGGAAAGTATTTATGATCACTTCATTTGTGTTAGGGATGACCTTTAAATGCCAGTTTTATTGTGTTCTTTTGTGTATTCTTTTTCGTGAGGATGATGAGGGGATTTTGTGGCTTGAAGAATATCCCTAGAGTAGAGGGATGATTTTGAATTGGTCTAACTTTGAGTTCAGTCAGTGAAACTCCGAGGAACACGTCCGACGCGAGACTTTCTAAAATAATAAATATTAACGTTTAATACCCTTGATCTATAAAGAGCCGCGACTCATTACGCTCCACCCGCTCCGAGTAACGTTAGATCGGACCGAAGGTAATGAGCAATGAATATTGAAAATCGATGTTGATAAATTGTATCGATGCGCGTGCTCACCGATACATTAACGCAATCACGTGCGTCGCGCGGATAGAGTCTCGGTAATGCATTCTCGTTTATCAAGTTATCGTTGATCTCTTGTCCTACGGTTCTTACGATTTGTATTTCGGTGATCTTGAATTCGACAAAGCAAACTTTGCCGTGGAATCCTTTGAAAAACGTGACAAGATTCTCGTTGTAAGTTCGCCGAATTTGTAACACTGTCGAGGTATAGTAAATAGATTTTTATGCAATCATGGGAAATTTGAAAGTGGAAGATTATAGAGTATGCTCACAATTTGCGGAAAATATATAAAACATTCAGAGTGCAAAAACAGTTTTCTATCGTAATTCTGTTTTCCTAATTACATTCCCAAACACTTTGATTCGTGTACTGTGCATAATTTGTATAATTGGTTTGTTTAATAATAAGGTACATTGTCAAAGGAACAATGTCATCTGGTTGTAGCGATTGATTAATCGGTATCCTTTAAAGGCGCACGCCGGAAGATCCACGACGGATTTCACGGTGAGTAATCAATTGAGAAACAATTGATTCGTTTCGGAGATCGAGAACGCAGAAGTGATTCATCTTTTCTCTTGTACGAACAGATCGGTACGAGGACTTCGAGGAATTTCTTGTGCAAATGAATCGTTAATCCAATGACGGCGGTGACTGGGTCTATTGTGACCCAGATTTCCAAAGACTTTGTAGAATTTCTTGCGTTTTTATAGCTATGTGATGTTTCTAGTCGATTATATTCAGTAAAAATGTTCGTTTTCCGAGGGTTAACGTTAGAACACTAGAATTCCTAAGTCTTTCTTCCTCAATTATTGAAAAAATAATAGATTCTTCTCGTAGAAATTTCTAATGCAATTGTTTTAGTAATATGCAAACTAAGTTGTGAATGATCGAAGTCTCGATAGATGCACTCTTGGGGTTTCTATAGAAAAATTTTGAGAAGTCGTCTTGACTGCTTGGTAGATCTAGTGTTAAGGGATCGACGCGTCTTCGTCGCGTCGTTGACTTCTTTACACGTGAAGCACGCTGTCGCTCGAAAGTGTGAGACTCGGAGCTCGTATAACTAATGAAAGGGGACAGTATTATGTACTTTTTAACGATGTAATAAAACTCGCCGGCGCTTGTGCGAATCGTCCGCGTTCTGTTTTGGTGCATTAGAGTCACTGTACTCTTGCTCGTTAAAGGTTTCTTGTTTTTGCGGATTGAGCGTACCGCGATGAAAAATTCATTATTTCAGAGCTCTGTGAAAGAGAGTTTCTGTTGGGACGAAGTGTATGAATCAAGTCGTTTTCCATTGATTTCGAAAAGGAATCTATATAAATACCTATATTAAATTCAAAGATATCAATCCAATAAGATCTCCTGTGCATACAGAAAATATCAACTGAGAAACTATAGCTACTAAGTAATTAGGACAACTCATTCCTCATTCGTCATTCGTCATTCCTCGTAAAACACGAGAACACGAATTGTAATATATGAATCTACTTTATCATTCTATTCGCATACATAAGTCATTTTAACATTTTCCCTCTATAATTTCAATAATCGCGAAACAAAGGAACATGAATCGTTTTGACCCATTCACTAGCTTCACCGTTGAACAAAATTTCCCTTGAGCACTGGAAATATAAATGGAACAATTTTCTTCGTACACGACACGTAGGATGTTATTTGATTGCCCGGTGCTCCGATAGGACAATTTATTTACTAACGACGCGCCATACTGTTAGCAGGTATGCAAAACAACCGTTCTCCATTATCGATTGTTCACGATTGTGTCACGTGATCGATGGAAAAGGCTCGCGATTCATAAGTGCCGCCGCGGTGCAGTGCGGCGCAGCGCGAGGCAGGAACATGCAAATGCATTCTCACGATTGCGTCCGGAGCACAATGCACCTATGACGCGACCGTACAAATGAACGGGCGATTCAATTGATCGGAAGTAACGCGGCGAGATACGCGCCGGTTCACAATGGCAGGCACAAGAACCGAAGTCTTCGATCTTCTCACGCGCGCCCGCGGAGTTCGGCACTTCGGAGCGGTTGGAAAGTTCCGAAGTTCCGTGAACCGATAACCGGGATGCTGGGAAACGTAGAAGTTCGGTAGATCGACGGCGAAACAGCCGTGAAACTTAGGAACGTCGGACTCGCGATGGACAGTCGGAAATTCCGAACTTTCAAGAGTCCGGGGATCGGGAAAATTTCAGAGGGAACGCGGGAAATCGAGGTGTTACGAATTTATGTTTCTGATTCGAAGGTGAACCGTTCGAGGATTGGGTAGTTTTTAGTATTACGTGTTCTGCTTTTGTCAATTTGAATTTTGGAATATAAGGACATGGTACTTGAAACTTTGAGGACTTGAGGAAACTTGAGATTTGAGATTTGAGATTTGAGGTTTGAGGTTTGAGGTTTGAGGTTTGATGTTTGATGTTTGATGTTTGATGTTTGATGTTTGATGTTTTAGGTTTGAGGTTTGAGGTTTGAGGTTTGAGGTTTGAGGTTGGAGGTTGGAGGTTGGAGGTTTGAAGTCTGAGGTCTGAGGTCTGAGATTTGAGATTTGAAGCTGGGTGTTTCGAGGATCAGGCATTCTATAACCATAGTATTCCATAATTCTGTGAGTTTGAAACTTGAAGCGAAAGGATACGGAGTTTCTATAACATTTTTTAAAATTCAGGAGGTTGAAGTCATCTAAAACGTTAAGAGTTTTTAAATGTCAGAAGTGAAAAACTTGAGAATCTGATATTTCGCAGTTCACGAGCTCGGCAATCTTTGTAGTTTCGAGCGTTAATTGTAAGCTCGGAGACCAGAGAAGTGAAGAAATATTTATATTTCGCGGTAGAAAATGCTGGGAATATGTAATTCGGAGGCATGGGAACTCGGTGATATATAATTTTAAAGGAGGTTGTACCTGGGAGAATGTAATTAGCGGGAACAATGTTTAAGAAGAGCGCTCCTTAAGTCTCGCGATTACGAATCATCAAATTAGACGATTACCCGACACGTTAATTTAGTGCCTGGAGACGTTCTCTCGCGCTAAATATTAATGTCCTTCCTTTTCTTTTCTTTCTTTTTTACACAATCCCCGGCTCGGTTTCCACACCGGCCGCTGTTAAAACTAATTCATATTTACGGAGCACGGATTGCGCTAACTGAAGCCGCTGAATTTCAATCGTGACGCGTTTTCTTCTGACGCATTCCGGAATTACCGCAAGAGGTGTCTGAGTTCACCGTGGAAAGAATTTTTCGGTGTTGAAATTCACTGGCTACGGATTTGCCTGCCGCTGCCGTATCTTTCGGCGTTTTTCCAGGCTGCCATTACAATTCGTTACAATTAATGGCCACTGACAAAGTGGCTGACAGAAAATTGACGGAGCAGACAAAAAAAACCCGACCCGTTCCTTTAATCAGAGGTTTCAATTCGCCGTTATTTAGCTCGGAGAATTTCATTCGAGAAACGAACGGCGAGACGCAATACCGTTAGCGATCGTTATACGGCTTTTAACAGCTAATTAACGAAGAAATACAGCCGCGATTAAGGAAACAAAAGTATCAATGATCCCTTTCGAATCCATTTCTTTGTATCTTAGATCTACAACTGTTCCGTTCGGTTAGATGAATTAATTACGGCGTTAACCACTGGTATTCCGCGTTAAGAATAAAAGAGGATAATATCGTAAAGTTGGCTAACGGATACGAAGGATCTAGAGAAAAGTTACACGTGCAATCGAGTAAATGAATGAATAATTTACAATTGTGGAAATCTTCCAGTGTTAAAGCAATGATTTACATTGAATATTAAATAATAATCGTACATCGAGTAATCGAATATTTTTGATTTACCAAAATGTCGATTCATGTTTTAGATTCAGTTTAAAATTCTCGTGATCCTACGATACCTACTGATTGATATATTTATTTCAATTCTGTGTAATAGGCGACGATTACTAATGTAATTTAATCAATATTTCCACTTTTTACTAGAAATAACACAAATAATCGAATGTATGAGATACACGAGTCGTTTGTCTAAATTCTACTGCTTTGTTCCGAGGAGTTAATCATTTCGTCAAACGGACAGCTCGTGCAAATCTTCGAGACAAACAGGAATGAAGGATCGATCGAGGATCATTTGGTCGCGCGACACACGCCCGGTCGGGATCGCTTTCTCACGTGCGACCCAATTAAAAAGGAACTATAACGGCCGTGATGTCATTGAGAAACGCGAGATAACGGGATCACGTGGGTGGGAGGGGCGATTTATCAATCCGATGATCCGAGTTCCACAGATTCCACCGATCCGTCCGCTTTTCTCTCTCGTTCACTCGATCACTCGGCCGGAATTCCTCCCGTAGGAGCATTGTTGTTGTTCTTAACCAGCGCTGGCATTAAAAAGATGCGCCGGGAAAGGTTACCGCGAGTTGGTTCGTCAGCGAACGAACGAACGAATGCCGATCGACGCGAAATATCGTGCTAAGGCCGATTTAATGTACTGTACATTGCCGAGCAAACATTTTATCGCTAGATACGCCTACTAGGTAACTGTCTATTCTACTGTTTTAATCCTTTTGGTCGCAAACACAAACTTTTGGGAAAAATACATTTATTTTCGTAATATACGTTAGACAGGTACACTTACTTTATTATTAATAATTTATTGGACAAAGACAGAAATTCTTGGCATATTCTATGTCTACGTTTACTCTGGACTGTAGTAATCAGTATCAGAAGAATAACTTTTGAATTCACAAAAATTGAGTGATATTTATGCTTGTTAAATTCTGTTCATAATCTGTATAATATCGGCGCGTTATTATGTGGCAAGGAGTTAACTAACTTATATCCAACAAAAATAAATATTCTTAGAAATAATGCTATTCTCTCTATCGAAAGCGGAAATATGATATCGTGAATAATTGTAGTAGAAATTAGTAGACCACGTAGCTGTTGAGATCGAAGTGACACGCAGGAATCTTAACAGTAGCATTAACGTTCGATTTAAATGCTGAATTTATCGCTTAAACTGTCCAATATGGGCTTAATTCTTATGCATTAGAGCAGGGTTGAAGATTGGACGTCTACTGGTTTGGTAACTGGAGAAATATAATACCGGGAAGTGGTTCTATCGATGGTGGTGGTTATGTATACCGACTGCTACTGTAGTGGTCGTTTTGTGATTCAATTATTACGAGCATATAAAACTTCGAATCAGTCGTAACGGTCCTTACGAGAACGTTAAGTAAGAGTCAATAGAAAATTTGTCACGTGACCAGCTTCTTTTACAGTTTTCATTTTGAAATTCAATGATAAAGGTACTAGTAACAACAGTGGTTAATTGTCAATTTTGAAACAGAAAGAGATTTGTCACGTGATCGACTTTCAGATTCATTGAATTTTCAATTTTCAATCTAATGAGAAAGACAATTGTACAATAGTAGCGATAAATGTTAATTTTGAAACACAAGAAGATTTGCGACGTGACGGACTTTCAGATTCTTTAAATTTTCAACTTCTAACATAATGACAAAAATAACAGTATAATAGTAGTGATAAATGTTAATTTTGAAACAGAAGGAGATTTGTCACGTGATCGCCTTCCAGGTTATTTTAATTTTCACCTCCTAATGCAATGATAAAAATAATATTAATTCTTACAGATCACTAGATCTTAAATTCAGTTTCGTTAGACTAACAAATTTCTCACAGATGTCCCAATCCTCTAATTGTCACGCCGAATCTCTCGTCTGGTAGCAGTTTCCCATCTTCCTTGCTTTCCAGCTTCCACAATTCTCACGGAGAGATCGGATCGAGAAAATTACAGTCAAACGGGTCGAGAAATTTGTATGATTGCGAACACTCCATTAACACTTTTCGCCCAGTCATGTAAAACAAGCCGAAGTGCAAAAACAATGATCTCACGATCGTTATATAGGCATCAATCAGCTACGAAAGCGAGTTGCGCTCGTGACTTGTCTACAGCCACGAAACCGAGATCGTTTGTACGAATAATAGAAACAAGGCTTGTCGCTACTGAAACTGTTCAATGAACATTGGACAAACTGATTCGAGTTCCTCGAAGACAGAGTATACAACTGATTTCTTAAAAAAAAAGAAGAAAACAAACTGAAGTCGAACTATTAGAAATGCGATTTCAGTTCAAGATTCATTATGTCGAATCAAACGCGAGTTGCACATAAATTTTCTGAAAACGAAATGTGATATTCATTATGAAAAACAAAAGCAAAGTAAAATAAACATTGGAATGTTCATTACGCATCGAAGTCGAAGAAAGTCTTCGAGTCGAATGAACGAATCGTAGATAAATTCCTAAAGATACGATTTAACTCGTCGTTAACGTTAAGAGGTGAAATAAAAGAAAATTTTTCCAGAGATTAAAAGATTTCTCTCGCTTCTGAAAGTCTCAATGTCCCGGGATAATTGACGATCGGTCGTGAAATCGAGGAACGAAATGATCGTTTCTCCGGTTGAAGAAAGGAACGCGTCTCGTGGGTGCGCTCGGTGGACGATTATGATTTTAAATACTCACTGCGTGGCCACTCCTTTTTGTTCAGGTCTCGTGACGCTGGTCTTGTGCAACATCCACGGGAGTCTTGAACACGAAATTCCGAGGAGGAGCTTCCTGTCGCGGCGGGCGATCGACGGCACCAGAGGAAGGTAGGAATAATCGAAAAAAAAACGAGTGGCGAGTAGGGACGTTCCGATACTTATTACTTGTATCGAAAGAAAGTATCAGTATCGGATCAGTATCGAAATAAAGTATTGATATTAATTCAGTATCGAATCAGTATCGAAATAACGTATTGATATTAATTCAGTATCGAATCAGTATCCAAATAAAGTATTGATATTAATTCAGTATCGAAAAAAAATCGATATTAATTTAGTATAGAAAAGAAAATATCGATATTCGCTTGGTATTAAAATGAAGTATCGGTATCGGATCAGAATCGAAAGAATATATTGATATTAGCTCAGTATTGAAATGAAGTAGAGAAATCAGCTTACTATCGAAGGAAAATACTGATATCAGAGAAGAAGAGTATCGAATTAAAATTAGTATACACTTAAAACGGAAAATTGAAAGTTTTGATAGGTGTATAGTGCCAGTAGTATCGATTCTTACGTATTTCCTTGGATCGGAACATCCTTAGTAGCGAGCACTCGCGTCACGAACATCGCGGGCACTCGACGAACACTAACGCGCGTTGTGATGGTCAAATTGCAGGAAGTACTTCGACCCGGAAGAAGAAGGGGTATTTGACAGTTATGGGTCCGCGGGTGGCCAATACGATCCTTATGAGGAGAAAACAGGTAAACGTTTTTAAATATGAATATTGTAATGTTATTGTTGCATGAGTTGCTCGTAGATTAAAGTGATCAATTTCATCTTTGAAATATTTTCGAATTTTAGCCTTGAAATAATGAATTTCATAGTATAATCTTATGGAAAAATGATATTTTCAAACCATAGAGAAATAAAGAACATCGAGTTGTAGGCGATCGACGAAATTTTAAATCGAGGACAATCGAAGAAGTTCGGAATGAAGCCAGTGTACAATTTTATGTGCATACCGACACCTGCAAAGCACACTTAATTCTAATTAATAACGTGATTAATGGCGACTGTCATCGAGACGATTATAATCCTCGAGATATAAGAACCCTTTCTATTTTCGTCCTGAAGAATCTCGTCAACTGGTAGAAATGGTGTCGGGTAGGTAATAATTATTAAATTGACCAGTAATCTTCATTATCGTTTTTATACGCTCAATCTCGTATCTGCGAGCAATGAAAGATGCACCGTAGACGATGGCGTCAACCAATAAAAATGGTGTCATGCGTAACAACAGTTGCAAAACGAAATCTTTCGTTTCTTCTGTTAATCATCGCTGTTTGCAACATTATCAATTAGGACGAACAAAGAAACAAAGTGAATTTTAATAAGAGAAACATCCTCCGCTTGAATCAATATGATTTTCCCTGACCTTTGCTTCCCGTTTATTCTTCTTCGCACTTATAGTTCGCGTAAACTCACTTATCTGATCATTATCGTCGTTTCCTGCAAAAGATCTACCCTCGATATTGTTTTCTATTATTGTCCGTTTTCGTAATCGTAATGAAGATCGACGGTGTTACTTAACGATTAGGAAATAGTTTGTGTCCTTCAGGTTTTAGACTTGAAATTTTTGAGTTTCTCAACTGTTGTGAATTTTAAAGTCCCCGAACCTCTGGATTATGAAATTTCTAGATTACTAAATTTTAAGAGTTTTTTAATTCCACGATTTCACACATGGAAGCGCACAAGTTTCTAAACTTCTGAATTTCCTACTTTGTAGATTTCCAAATTTTAAATTCCTAAATTCCTAAATTCCTAAATTCATAAATTCATAAATTCATAAATTCATAAATCTCTAAAATTCTAAATTTCTAAACATAATTTCCTAATTTTCTAATTTCCGATGTTCTAAATTTCTAAATTTCTAAATTCCAAAATTCTTAAACTTTAAAATTTCTAAGCATTTATAAAGTCTCGAACTCTTATCTCTCTAAGCATCAGAAGCCAAGTATCTAAACTTCCAGACACTGGAATCCTAAATCCTTCAAATATCCAAGCTTCGCCTCAAAAGCCTGAACTCTCCAAGGTTCAAGTTCCACAAGCTTCTAAATTCATAACCGTGAAAGCTCTCAAGTCTTCGAACGATTATGTTTCAAAGAATTTGAACTGCAGATTTCCCAGGCTACCATATATCATTATGACTACTCACGCTTAACTATGATACCGATCGATGACATTATCGAGTACCGATGAAACAGCGCGAAAAGGAGTCCATAGCATTTATCTCTTTCACCCTTTCTCCTGCAATAGATCGTATCGTTGATTTTCTTCGTTCACTTTTTTCTCCGCCTCAAGGAATTACAAGCGCAGAGGCGGTTATTACGGGTGAAATGATGGACGTGCGTCGATTCAAGACGAGATCGTTAAGAGAAGGACATTATCAAGTGGCGTGAAAGGCAGTCGCCTATGACACACGTGGAAAAATTCAACGGCATAGGTCACGTGAAGCCTATTGCAAATTACGGCCAGCAGAACCGTGGAATCACGTGCAGCACGCCGCGTATTGTAAACATGGGGCGCATCCATTTTAAATGTCAGAGACGCGGGGCCATCCTTAAGTCTCCTTTTCGCGACCTTGAGCCATCAAACATCAATAGGAAAAACCATTTTAAAGATGCTCGCGTGTTCTTGAAATAGTTCCTTTCATTCGTTTTTTATTGACTTTGTGATTATTTATTCATTCAGTTCTAACATTCTTCGAGTCGTTCCAAGGTCGGTAGCTGCGAAGTTTCTCTTAATCAAGATCTTAAAGCTGTAGATATTGAATTTCTTAAATTTGAAACTTTCAAGGTCAAGGCTGTAGAGTTCTTAAGATATTACTGTCTAAAGTTCTGAAAATTCTTAGTTATTGATTAATAATTAATTTTCTAACTTATCAGCATCTGAAACTCTCAAAATTGTAAGTTATTAATGTTTAAAATTCTCAAAATCCCAGGTCATTAATATTTAAAAAGGATCTTAAATCCCCAAGTTATTAGTATCTAAAGGCCTCAAGTTCCCAAGTCATCACTATCAACACTTCTCAAATCCCAAAACTTTTCACAGTCAAAATCTCTCAAGCTCCTAACCTGTTTCAATCCAGACCTCTCAGAATTCGAAGTTCCAAAATTCCCAAGTTATTCGGCATATCCGAATCCAAGTTCCAAAGGCATCGCAATTCAATTCTTCCGGGCTTCTAATCCATTAGCGTTCAAAGTTAATCCCTTAACTTGCACCCTCAAGTTAATTCGAGCGCGCTAAACAGGTCAAACTGTGAAATTAACAATGTGAAAGCAAAGAAAAAAAATCGTTTTATTGATATTTATCATTTACATGGGATCGTAAGTTATAACACTTATTTATTCAAAAATAAAATATAGCCTTTTTCCATGGAACAAAAGCGCAGTATATCAAAATTGATTTTCTTTGGCCGGTATTTTTCCAAAAAACTGTGCGTTAAGGAGTTATTCCATCTGCCAATTAAAGTATAAGTCAATCGAATTCCTAATAAACTTACTCTTAAAATTCCTGCAATCGCACCAAGAAAAGTTAATTTTACCGGTCCGTAATTCCAGCGCTGAAACAGCGTTGAGCAGCGTTCTGCTGGCAGTTTAGCTACCGTTCGAGCTGCAATTATCCTAGATGAATCTGTTTCGCTTGCAGACCTCTCGGACATCAGGAGGAACGTGCCAGGAGAGCCAGGCATCGATTACCCTGCGTACACGACGCTGCCCCAGACGGGATTCACGTGCGAAGGACGTTCACGAGGTGAATGAGAAGTCACACGATTCAACGTCCCCATTACTCGCGCGATCTCCTCGCCGGTATCGTATCTTGCATACATACAACGAAATTCCGTGGATTGCCGGTCGTGCCGGTCACGGAAAAGTCACGACGTTTTGATTGGGTAACGGCTAGCGTAGTTTTCACACGACCGCCGGTGACCGGTTCGCGAGTTAGGCGTGTAGCGTGCATGACATCGAAAGTTGGCTATACGCGTTAATAACTCATCGGTCATTCGCTTGTAAAGCTTCTAAAATGTTGCTAGGAAACGTTTCTTCCTTGGTGATTTTTAAATGAAATGACCCATGACTCGACAATATTTCTTTCGGCATTTCAGATAAACACCTCTCGCAATCGGTAAACCCTAGTTTATCACCATTAGAGCCACCGACCAATTAGACTTGTTTCTAATGCCTCGAAAAAATTAGGAAATTATATCTCGAGATTTTAAGTGCCTCTTACATCTACGTTCATAGGAGTATACAGGTTCGTTTTATAATTTTTCACAGAAGCGGCTTCGTAATTTGAATACTTGGAAAATAAATATTGCGAAATATGTCAATCTAATGGTTATACTGGTAAGAAAGAAGGAAACGAATCAATTATTTTATTAAAAGTATTTGTTTGAAAATATTTGAAGGGTAAGGATGCGTTACAGTCGTAAAGGTTACTGAATATCAAGCACACTAGGATCATCTTGCTCATCCGTGTGGAGATTGTTGTGCCGAAGTGCATTATAACGTTTAGAATGGTGTGCAAGTGCATTGTTCTCTGGTTTCCATTCGATTGTTAATATTTTTCACCTGGAAAGGTTCCGGAACACATGAAATCCCAGGCTTTAATTCGAACGTAATATTCCCTGGTCGAGTTCCTTTCGAACGATTGGAAGAAATGCCAGGCCGAATCTCCGGAATACCGATAGAACCTTTCAAACCACTCGTTTGGCCTTTATCTCATTGTTGGCCCCGCTTTCGCCGACGTTCTGCCACTTCCCAGGCAACGTTATAGCGTACAACATCATCGACGCCCGTTGCTCAATGAAAGAACTGTAATAAACACAACGAAGAAGTGAACTTTCTTCGACGTGAACAGCCGCAGCCTGCGATCCGGCCGCGGCTGAGCAAGATCGACGGGCCTGCTCCGCGAGAGAACCGTTAGCATCGGCCAAATTGCTCTAATCGTGTAAAAAGAGAAAACCGCACGCTTTCACAATTAGGAGCTGTGATAGAGACATCATCGTTACGTTTTTCTATAGAGTTGACACGGTTGTCGTGTCGTCGAACGAAACTCTTCTGAATAAGTAAAAGTGAGAGTAGATGTTCCTTTATACGTAACTCCGTGGATCTCTTCGCAGACGAGTATCGAGGTATATTTCCGGATTGTTTTGGTTTATAGAAGTTTCCTCGGAACTTGGTCGATAGTATTTTATGGATGAACTATGGAAAATGGGGAATTGTAAGGAGCATTGGGACTATTGAGAATGAAGAATTACTGAAAATGAGGAATTATTGGAAATATTGAAACTATCGACACTTTTTCAAACGAGGAACAATCAAGAAATAAACGAATAAATTGAACTTCCATCTCCACTAATCAACAATAACTTCAATTTGTTCGATCGTTGCAACACTTGCTCAATTTCATTTGATCACACACTGATCATTTCAAACTTATTAATCTAAACAACCGTCCCTCGTTATACGCCACCTTAGCAACTCGCGCATGGAGTAACAAACGAGGCATGCACAGTTCAAACCGATACAATAACGCTTTGTCAATATTAGCGTCATCGATCCGTTCCACCGATCGAAACCTTTACATCCTCGTGTCATAAAGAGACGTTTAACGAGGCAAGTGAATCAACACCGTGCAATCGAAGATTTTCACGGGGGATTTTCGTGAGGGATTTTACGGTTCGCCGTGGAGTCCCGATAATGGCTCGGAACGGTGACCTATTGCGAAACCGAAGAAAATGCTATAAGTAGAGTTCGCAGCAGCGGCGACGGCACGTGTATGCCCCCCGTCACCGTGTGTGCGTGAGAATCATCCTTGACACCGATACTAAAGGTGAAAAAGTACGCGATTAAACGGTGATCCACATGAGCAACGTTCGACGACTGATGATCATTTCGACGGCTATGTTTATCGACAGATTCGTCCATCTCCGTCTCGACGTCTTTATAGAAGCTAAGAAAGCGCTGATTCATAAGGCTTGTATCGTTGATCAATTAACACGTTGAATGACAGACGATTTCGCGCAGCGCGATACACGAAATGCAAAGATATAATATCAAATTATTTAACACTGCCACGCCATTCGAATTCGGGTGACACCATGTTTTACGTAAAATATTAACACATTCCGTACCAGCTAATTTTCAGAAAATTGCATTGTGCGGAGGGTGATTTTCAGTGACACCAACTTATATCACTATAGATACGAAAACTCAGATATATTGTTATGTAATATATTTTAAATAGATAATCAATTCGAATCAAATTTAATATTTCCTTCAATATTGTTGTAATTAGCAAAGTTGCGTAGTTAAGTGTCTTTATATAAAAACGAGATTTCTCGTTACCAGTATGCAATGTGTTAATTTTGATTTACGTGGAATATGAATTCTGTTGGATCTATGAAATATAAGAAAGACAGTAGAGCAATCGTTATAAAAAATCTTGAACTTTTAGTTTAATTGAAATCATTAGTTTCTAAAACAGTTTCGACTGTATAGGAGTTTTGATGGGTGTTTACGTAGTCAGTGTCGATTGAGTTGTTTTCATCTTGCTGAATGCACTTATATCATTTGTAACATAGGAAAGTTTTCACATAATCATGGTTCAACTGAAGGGATTATAGTAATTCGATTTGATTGGGGTATCAGTTATCTTCACCGCAACGTGTTAACTAAGTTTTATGGGTCGCTTCAACGTGAACGCTTTCATTTAAAATAAAAATATGAATTTCCGCGTTTTGCTTTTAAAATATGAAATTAAACAATTTTTGAAATATGAAACTCCGAGCAGACCTTTTACCGCTATTCTTTTTCGTTCGGACTAACGCGTGCAACTCCTGTTGCATCGGCCACGGGCAACTCGAAACTGGTTGATCATTCTTGCAACACGTCGCGATCGATTTGATGAATATTAATCGTTCGAGTGCCACGGGTTTCTGCGAAAACCCGGTCGGTATATGCCCAGCGGCGCGACTACGCTTTTCTGATTTCATATTAACACTAGGTTTACGAACGTTTCTTGTACACCTGACACACTGTTTTGCCCCTAGATAGTTCACTCACATAGATCTTGGAAATCAGAGTTTCACGAATAGAAAATTCGAACTTTCACTAATTAATTTTCTGTAAAATATATCTGTCAAATCAACGGACTCCGTAAACCTAGTGTCAACGCGTTGATTATCACGGTGATTATATATAATTGAAGCTTTGAAATTAGTACAAAATTATTACAGATAAAAATGAAAATAACTAGAATATAGGTATAAGATAATCAACGTCGAACAAAAATGTTTAACGGAGCAAGCAATTAGAATAATAGTTGTCATACATAATTTAGTGTAGCGTAGGAACTGCGATACCAAGGAATTGGTAATTATTGCAATTCATCTTCGCTGCGAAAGAATAAGTGATGTATATATCACTCGGGATTCTCGTGGCAGTCAACTTGTTAAGAGAAGATGAAACAGGCCGCTATTATCTGTCTGAAGTGGAAGATGAACATATTAACAGGATAGTCGTCCGTATCGAGAGGAGAAGATTACGATGATAATATCAGACACACACACTGGACCGCTTTTTAGTCGAAAGAAAAGTCTCAGCCGAGAACCAGTCCGCAGAAATGAGATTCAATTAATCTAGACTTCGCAGAAGCCGGCAAGAACTTCCAGACATTCGTCTTTTTACCTGTCGCAATCCCATTTGTATCGGGGAAAGCTGCGGGGAATCTTGCTCGTTATTATTCCTGTTATTCGTGGCTTGTGAAACCGTTAGAGGAGTAATTAAGACAACTTTTAATGGATTCACTTTTCAGACAAAAAAAGAAACTAGAAAAAAATAATTCCCTTTAATTCTATTCTATTTTAAAAAATTGTTCGCCCAGAAAAGTAATTATCCTGACAGAGACAACAAAATTTTCTCAAGTTTCCATAGGTTTTTAACGAAGTTTCATAATTTCTCATAAAATTCCATGAATGTTCACAAATCTCCATAAATGTCCGTAAATCTTGCACCAGCTCAACGAGGAATGAATCATTTCGTTGAACTCTCTCGCGAAAAAAGGAATCGGGGGAAAAAACTGTTGCAATTAGATTGATCAGAATCCGAAGACGACAAAATTGTCCTGTTTGCGCGGGGAACGCCAAACGTGTCTCCGTTGAAAATGTTATCTGTCGCTCACCGAATCCGGTATAAGCGGCGCAACATCGTAACTCGTCGATGTAACGGAATCGTGTCAGGTATTCGTGTAACGTTGTTCCGCGCGGGAAGAAAGCGGTTTCAATTAAAATTTCCGAGTAACCCCTAGACGTCGCGCAACATTCCCGATAGACACCGATCCTTTGTGTCCCGTGGATCGATCTCGCGGAAGAAATCGCGCTCTATTAGATAATCTATTAGAGAGAGAACAAAAGAGCAACAGGGTGAGAGAGAGAGAGTGAGAGAGAGGAAAACAGAAGGACGGCTGGACGAACGAAAGAGGCGGCGTCGTATAATCCTTACGTAACAGCTGACGAGCGTAAACATTGCTCGCTGCCACGATTACCTCGAAAAAAAGAAAAGAAAAAGGAACGGGTTCGATCATTAGGAACGTTAATCGTGATCAAGGAATGCGCGGGATCGAATTCGCCGGGCGATTGTCAGAAGAATGTTTTAATTCCTAATTGATCTTCGCTCACCTTTCGCTCAGACCCTCCACGAGCCAATTTTTTACGTACAAAATGAAATTTATATAACGTAAAATTAGCGAATTTATTCGTGTTTTCGTATAAATGTACGATCGATTCGCGATTTTGTGAAGATTTATAAATATATTCGTGGCGCCTACAAATTTTTGCGTAAACATCGTACGTGAAAGTGGCAATAAAATCGTTATGTAAATGTAATGGTAAAAAAGACTACTGCGTATGGGTGTTCTTAATTATTATGCGGTCTTTTTTCCGGGTTTATTGGAATCGGATGTATAATAAAATCGTTGATGATAATTGCGGGAAATAACGGGCTCCCGTTGAACCGACAGAAATTTCGAGGAATGCGCGTTTCGGTCTGAGAAGCAGAAGATGCGAATCGATGGGAGGAAACTGTTCGGTTACGAAAGAGTGGTACGACGAGTCCTCGCGGAAAAGTCGAGTCGGACGTGAAATGTATGCATATATGGATACACGATTTCGAAGATGGAGAATTAATCTTGGTAATTTCCTCCGACTGAAATCTGTTGTCCCAGGTATTCGAGCAATAGCTGTTCACTTTCGTAAAACAGGAATATCATGATTCTTGCATTAATCCAAAAGATAGACGAGCAGAGATCAATTAATCGCCTATTACTCGCTGACAACTTAATTGGATGTTCCAAATTCTAAATGAATCATGAAGTCGTTAGATGAACGTCTATAATATTGATACTCGTACGTCATAATCCATTCGAGTCCGATTGAAAGGTGAACTTGGGTTTCCTGTATTTGTTGTCAGCGATATACATTTTTATTATTAACGATTCTGGATACTTAAGCGCCGAGAAAGTTCGCTGTTCTTTATGCCGCGGTGCAACGGCATTTTAATTGATTCTCGGACGTGTAAATAATCATAAAACTGTTCCACAGTCGATGTAATACTATCTTGCGCACTGATGTAACTGTAAATGGCACGCATCCTCGGTGTCCATTTAACAAGAGTCATTATTCCTTCAACAATCTATACAACTTTCTCCGCGAGGCACACTCTCGATACGATCTGCATTCGAAGTTTCGCCGCGACAACACTGTTCCACGTGAACTCGATCATTTCTTGTCATCGGCGTCAGGGATTCTGTCCCGAATGAAATACGACGTGGTGCGAAACCCGTTGAACATTTATACAATTGTCGATCAGTGTCACAATCTCCTATTAAAGTAGCTTTAAAGTGAATGCAGATAACATTTGCGAAACATTATGCGGTACAGAGTATTGAATCCACTTCATTCCCTCTACTCTTCCCCGTGTATCTCGTTTTCCTCTCTCGAAAGTAGATATTCAATCGAAAAGATACCAAATTCATCGTTATCGCAATAAGACAACTTGTAATGTTATAAGAATTCAAACCTTGAACTTGGCTCGGTAACAAATGAATATTTGATAAGGTAGAACATTAGAAACACGTTCGAACCATAAGCAACCTGTTAGAGCGCGCGGAGGCTCAAGATTCCATGTCCATTCCAGGTTATTACGCGGACGAGGTGGCAGGCTGCCAGGTGTTCCACGTGTGCCACGACGTGCTGGTCTCCTCGTTCCTCTGCCCGATCGGATCCCTGTTCAGCCAGAAGCTGCTGACCTGCGACTGGTGGACGAAAGTGGACTGTCCGTCCAGCGGCAAGTATATCGACGTGAACCGCAACAGCTACCAGCAGGATGACGACGAGATGATCAGGAACGCGTACGCGATGATTAGCCTGCAGTCGGGGACAGACGTGACCAAAGACGGTTTGGTGGATCCTGATCGGACAGGTAGCATTATAGACTATCAGCGGGTCACCGGAAGACTGTTCGACTATTCGCCCGGCGATTCTACCGGGAACGACCTTAGAAACACGTTCGAGGACTATCCTAAGTCGGTAATTCGCAACTTCCTCCCTCCTTATCAAGCGAAGGCCAAAAAGCCGGAAACGACGCGGAGCTACCAAGAGAGCTTCTATCCTCGAGAGAAGACCGGGTCTCCTTACGAGGACTCGCCAATCATAAGAATCCAGAAGATCAAAAACTCCGGGGACCAACGGCCCAGAGGCTTCCAGGACACCTACCGCAGGCCCAACGAGTTCTCCAATCACTTCCAGCCCTCTTACGCGCCCACCGTGCCCACTGTCACCACTACCACCAGAAGATTCTACTCACCGACTGTTCCCACTACCACCTTCCGACCATCTACGGTCGCTTACAACAAGCTGGATCAGGCTATAGACAGTTCGGAGTATTACTTCTCTCACAGCGGCACCAAGAGCCTCGTCACACCTCCGACTAGGATCATCCACGAAGAGGATAGAAGGCTCACGCAAGAAGCTAAGAAGATTCATGATAGTTACGAGGACGACTATGCGGATGAAAATATTGAGGAACGTGGAAGAACCAAAGAAAGGTTCGAGGTTAGAGTAGCCGAAGATCTGAGGTTCAATCAGTCCAGTGTCCATCATCGCGGGCCGTTGTTCGACGATGATTATAGGGGATTTGATGAGGAAGGGATAGAGGATATAGAAACTAGGGGCAGCATAGGTTTAGGCCACGCATTGAATCTGCCGTACAGAGGAATCTCGGTTCAGCAGCAGAATCCAGTAAAAGATGATGATAAGTCAGGGAAAAGCGATTCAACAGGTAAAGAGAAAACTAAAGCGGATTATCAGCATACTTTGGCTAGGCCAGAGTCGGTGCCTAATGTTGGAGACGTGGAAGAGACCACCGAACAATACCAAAGAGACGATCCAACGGGTTTAGAGAGTCTGGTACCTTCCACCACTCCTTCCTTTGTCGAGAGTACTATAAAAGCTAGCACCGTGTCTTTCAATGCAACTTATGGAGGATCTGAGAAGGAGAAAAGTGGCGTCGATAGAGTAAACGGACCTGGAGAATCCTCGGAGAACCATAAATTCCAGATAAAAGTACCTGACCTGTCCGAAGTGTCTAGCCTTCTCATCAGGTACTCTACGCTGGATGATTCTTCTGATTTTGGCGCCAGAACTACCGAGCTGCCTAGGTTCCAGGACATTTATTCCGATGATTACGCCGATAAGCAACCTATTGATGATGAAGTTTCAGTGACGAGCAATTATGGGGATGGAGAAGGGTTCACGGGTTCTAGGATTCAAAGCTACTCAACGTCGAGACCTCTGATATCATCCACTGGCCAGTGGTTTTCTACGTCGTCTGATCTAGTATCTAGAACTTCCTCTTCATTGTTTGAAAAAGATACTCAAGAGAAGATTGTTAGCAGTCACGAGAAAACTGTGAATCGCGGCATTTGTTTGGACCAACTGGGAAAACCATGTAACGCGACTTCTGGGAGCAGGAGTTCTGTCTCTTTAGAAGAATCCTCTGTCCTGACCAGTTTTGGGAATGGCAGTGAGTCTGGTACAAATTCTAGAAGGACTTTCTATGATCCCAGTGCAAGTATACTTCATACTTTCGTCGAAACCGCGACGCAGAAGGTGAGTGACGGGACTCTACCAGGTTCTATTAACAAATTGGTCAGCAATGAGTTCTCAGAGCCAATTTCTAAACCTGTGACGCAGAGGAGTTTAGAGAATATAGGCGGAAAGTTGGAAAACGCTGAGAATAGAAAAGAAGTAATCGAGTCGTCGACGGTGAACGCGTTCTTCAAGTCCATCACGCCGGAGACGTTGAAGCAAATTGAAGACAATATCGATAAGCACAATTCTCCTTATCAAGTCACCTTGACAGTGAACAAAGATCAGGGTCTAGTACCGAGCGACGATCTGATTGGTAAATTCGTCACTCATCAGAATGGACAAACTCCAATTCCAAGTGACAAGTTCCATGAACTGGAGATCGTCAAGTCTATAGAGCCTGAAGAAATAAGAACTGAGCCAGAAGCTACCACTACGAGCGCCCTGGACTACGACAACTATCAAGACACAGATGTGAACTTCACTAGCGAATCTGTAGACTCTCTGAAGAATCGCAGCACGATCAGTCTTCTTCAGCTGATGTCCGAGTTGCTCAAGCTGGACCGTGCTCCTAGACCCTTCTCTTTTGGGAACGAAGGATCGAGGACGCAAACTTCTGGAGCGCAGAGAATTGCCGAGGACGTGAACTCTAGCATGCTAGCCAAGGAAGACGTTCCCAGGCAGCTAGAGGAGACTGCCACAGGCAAGAATTCCACTTCTCAGGTGAAAACTCCTGTGCCATTGAAGGAGAAGATTCTGGGTCAGCTGGCGGAACACTTCGGCGAACCTCTCTACAAAAGCGACCGGTATTTCGAGCTCCCTCAGCCAAAGAGGACACTGGACTTCCAAACTGGGCTGCCCCTTAAAAGCTCGAAGTCCAACGAAGGGTTTACTGATGAAAGTTCAAGCAAAATCGCCGAGGCATCCCCTAAAGTTAGCACTGAAGCGCCGACCACGACCACCACCACGCAGAGAACTGTTTTGACAACGGAGGCCGCGAAGACCGTAGTGAAAACGGAGTTTCTACCTTCGATCGGGTTCACGTTTGACACCGACGAAGGCCGGGAGGAGTACGTGGAGGCTGTCTTAGGGGGTCTGATCGAGCCGCAGCCGGCAGAGAGTGAGAAAAAGAATATCGTAGTAGGAGTTGATAGTGGATCTAGGAATGGGACTTCTGATAGAAAGGTGGATAAATCGGGGGAAGGGGCGGAAAGCTTGGAAAAAGAGGTTAGAATCTCGGAGAAGGTTTAGAGTATCGCTAGTAATGAGTAGATTGCGGATTCTCATGTAAATTCATTTTTCTATGCCAAGTTTTGAAACTGCGGGGATTTACTTGTGAATTTTGTTTATGGGAGCACGGAATTCTGACTAGAATAAAGTAAAGTAATCGAATAATTTAATTAAATAGAATGATTTGACAAGTGTGAAGCAATCTGTGAAATTTATATTGGTTGAAGTTTACTCTACTGGATTTTAGGGTACGAACGTGTGAAATCCGCGATCTAGAAGAACGTGAACTTAGTTTTAGAACGAAGTCTGTGATGCGCAGTTTTACGATTTAGACACACGGGACCGCCCATTCTTGGTCTTGTTATCTTTTTGTTACGTGTGCAGGGTGAGTTTGGGTAATGGGGGATACGACAGAGTGTATTGGAGCACTGGTTATAATTTCCTGTACGATTTTGTTCTTTTTTTGTCAGCGAGGGTGTGCGAGAGGGTGTGCGAGAAGGAATGGCAATTACATATGTAATTACGAAATTGTACCTTATGTAACCCCATACACTATCAGTTTCCTTTTTTAAATATATCTATTCGTTTTAAAAACCTTCGTTCTTCATTTCTTTCCCTACGATACCTTGAATACTGTATAATGATTATTATTAGTATTATTATTACTGTTATCAAGAACCTGGTTATTATGACAAATTAAAGGAAACAGTATATCCGGTCAGTAACAGTATATCTAGTTGCAATACGTAATATGTAATTTATTACGTATACTATTATTATAATAAAATCAATAGGAATAGCAACAGTAGACTAATAGACTAATAAAGGATACTTAAAACACATGGTAAATTGTTTCGAGCACTCGCGGACCTCTGTTTGTCGCCATGACAACATTGATAGGCGGATACTCGCAACTCAGAAACTCCGTTTAATCGATTCGAAGTAGAAAACAAACTACGAGGTTAAAGTACTCCGAGTTACTCGAAAAGAAATTACTAAACTTCCGAATAAATAATAGTACATCGATTACAATTTGTTGTATTACAGTTTCCAATCAATAGTTTATATGAAATGAGTCGCATTACTTAAAAGTAAATGATAATTTCAAGAACGAACTGAGGAAAGTATACTTGAGAGGTTGTGCAGAGTTTTTTCTTAGTTTGAAGACGTTGACGAGTGAAATATATTTTTTTATATTCTCAACTAATTAATTTGCTGAAATATGAGTGACTCAGAACTGGAATTCGCGCCGATCGAGATCGACGAGGACGAGGAGAAGGTTGAATTGGATGACGATGTTAATATACAGAGCCGGCATTCTGTCATGCACATGGATTACCGGTACAGTAGTAAACAAATAATTTTGATAACAAATTCGATAACAGATCGGTACAAAATGATATCGGCAAATATGATTTTGATAAAAAAATTCGATAATAGATCGGTATAAAATAATAACAATAAAGAATACCTTGAATAATAAATTACTATCGAAATCGATTATTGTGTATAAACAAATCAATAATAAATCATGATCAACGGTAAACAAAAACAGGAATTTCCTTAGATTACAGTGGATCAGGGACAAAGCGATGAAGTTTCTGGGGATCACCGGACACGAGCTTCAATTCTACAAACTTCTCAACGTAAATTAAGTTTGTTCACACGAATGAATCAAAATCCAATCAAATAGATCCAGTAAATTTGCGCGAATATTGGAATGTTGCTTTTAACACGTTAAATGCCGTGGGGGTCACCGGTGACCCCCAACCAAATTAAATTACTATACTTCACTCAATGAAACGACGATTATTTAGAGACATTTCCATATTACAAATAATGCTACCTAATTTCGTGACATTCAACTAGAAGAACGTGCAATAATAATAATGCAATTCAATCAAATGATTTAATATCATATTTTTTTCATTCTGTGTAATTTGCTTTATATAATCGCGCTGCGTTCAACGTGTTAAACTTCCCAACGTAAATTAGGTTATCGACACGAATGAGTAAAAATCAAATTCAATCGAATCAGTAGGTTTACGTGAATATACAAGCTTGAAATTTGATTGATGTTATCGAAACTTGAACAACAGGCGAACAACCGATACCTAGAGGACAAGATCCTTAATTTCTTGATCCTCGATCTATATGGAGTGACGGACCTTGAGAGGAAGGTAATATTCTTTTACACGACTTACTACACGGAAGTCATTCAAGAGGAAGTGCCTGTCTGGGAGAGTGAGTGCGGCATTTAATGTCTAATTCATTTAATATGTCAATTCATTAAACGAGAGATACGTATTATCTTTAATGCCGACGGGAAACAGGCGCACAGGCTAATAAACTGGCCGCTCTAACCGCGTTGGCGATGAAAGGAAAATCGCGTAGGTTCACTGACAATAACTGGTAACTCATGCTTAGGAGCAACGAAAACTCGTTGTATTATGCACTGCTTCTATAATTTCATTTAACGTTTTACAAACGCAAAAGCAATTGCTTATTAAAAGTTCTTTTCGTTGTTTGAGCACGATTCATTTTAACGGTTAGTAACACTTTTTTTTGCATCACTTGTGTTTTTGTATAATCAAAAAGAGAATATAAAGTAGTTAGAAATGTATTTTACTTTGTCTGTGTATGATTGCACATGAATGGTATGATATATTTTTATTTCGTATGATTTGACTGCTTTACATACAGTAAAACTATAAAATTTGATATATAATATTAAACTTCGTATAATACATCAATTTGAGAAATATTCAAACAAAATAGCTTTGTCCTTCAATGTAAGTATGATTTCTCGTCGAGTTAGTTTCACAAAATATCCTCTCTATCTCATCAGAAAATTTTAAAATATTTCTAACGAAACACTTCCGAGTGCATTTTTACATTTTTCTTGAACAATTGCACCCTTGGAAATGATTACTTTTTTGAGCTGAATTAAACTGAATTGCATCAGGGTTGGATAGAAGAGGGGGTAAAAGGGGTAGCAAAGTGAAAGTAGCGAAGAAGAAGCCGAAGAAGAGTAAGACGAAAGTAACGAAGACGGATCCCAGCGCGATTCTCACTTTACTGGAACAATCGACCATGTCTTTGAAATCGCATGCACCGTCTACGATCACCGCGTTCAGCGAGTACGAAACGGAAGACGAGGAGGAAGAAGGGGATGAGGATGAAGATGAGGAGGAGGGCGAAGAGGAAATGAACAAAGGTAGTGGAGATACTTCCCTTTCAGCGAGGAAAAAAGACGACAGTGATGCACTTACACCTGGTAAACACATTGTGAAATTACTCTTAAAATTTCAAATTTCAAAATTCTTTACTAGAATCTTTATTTGTTACGCGTGATAAATATGTTTATAATTTCCAACTCTAAAACTGAAAGAACGAATGTTTGAAATAATTTAACGAGTTAAAAAAATAGAAAATACCCCCTTTTCCAGTCTCCTCGATAATTAAACCACCGCCACCAGGAGAGCAACACAATTACGTGATGAAAAAGGTAGCAGGATGATTTATGACAGTTTGTTTTTATAAAAGACAGAAATATAAATGGTGTGCGCAGAGTGTAGAGGTGTGAACAAAATGGTTGCAGAAAATGGTGGAAAAAGTGAGAAGGATACCTGTCCTCCACATGATCTGTGGCGAAGTAGATGGTGGCAGGGCTGATCTACAGGACACCACGTTGTTTTATTTCCTGAGGACAACTGACGAGGGTATACCGTCGTTCGATTCTTATCAAGAATGTTGCGAAGAGATCACGCAATATTTGGTCGTTGGATCTCTTCAGGGGAAATTTCTGGTTACTTTGAACAGAATGTTAAATCAGGTACTGAAATATTGTTCATATCATTTAGATACATTTATTAGAATGAGTATATCATACTTACATAATCATTTTTGTGGATCTATATGAAATATATTCTTATTTCTTCACTTCAGTTCTGTTAGTTTGTAATCAAATTTGTTCTATATCTATTCAGGTATTTAGACCATTGGTGGAAAGTCAGTTTCATGGTCCACTGTTCGTAGAGATGATGAAACTAGATGATTCCGATAGCGACGACGAACTGTCCAATCTGGCTCAGATAATGCAATCTCGAGTACGTTCAATTTACGAAGTATGCACAAATAAACATCATTATAACGACAACAAATTGTCGACTAAATCAAATACCTTCATTAATACAATCTCTAATTTTATATCATTCTCGCGGTTTCTGAAATCACGTTACAATTTTCGAATTCTCTTATATTAACTTTAATTTCTATTTAATTTCAATTATTAATTTCTATAGTAATTTCTATATTAAGCACAGCCTTCAGAATGATGTTCTATGATTCAAAGTTTTCATTTGGCTCATTTTATTCGAGTGCCACTAATGACTGGAATGTAATACGAAATTGAACAGAGTTCGGTGTTCAGAAGACCCTCGGAATTCCGCAGAATGTCGCTGATGGTACAGAAGAAACAAAAAGAGAAAGAGGACACAGAAACCGAGGATGAAGAAAGTCTTAGGACTTCTCGATCTCGAAAGGAGACGAAGAGGAAATTCAGGGAAAAGAAGAAAACATCGACAGGCGCTGACAAAAGCGTGTCTATTATGGATGCCGAAGGAAAATCCCTAGACAAGACCAGTCGCAAGAACACGCAAGTCCAGCAGTCAAAGGAATGGGATCAGAGCAGAAAGGACATCTTAACCTATTTGGACGCGCTGATAGGCAGCGTCAAATGGTTCGTGAAGCTTTCCCTTTTCACTCATTCCAGGATATCCTACTGAACTTCAAATAAATATTCATTCCTTTTTATTCACAAAATCCATTTTCACAAGGGCTATGTTAGAACACAGTACAGAAACACATAAATCGTTAAAAGTAAAATTTCTTTTCCTACAAACGCTTTGAATAATTAAAGAATCTGCTACTGCATTGAATGTCACTAAATATTGCGCTTTGAAATTCTGTCGTATAACGATAACACGCTAAAATTAACGACCGAAATTAAGCTCCGGCTAGATTGTATTCTTCGTACGCTAAACTGCACCAACGGGATGTTACGTTGCACAAAAGTCAACGGTTTAATTAAAGTATTTCTATGCTACTTTTCTAATCAGGGCTCTAGAGCACATCGAAGGCGATATCCTGTTGACGATGCCGAACATCCCGGAACTGGAGGACCCGAAGGTCACCGACGAGATGTTGGAGAAGAATACCGAAGTGATTAAGCAGCTCGAGGACGTGATAATGTCCTGGGGAGTGCACATACAGAAAGTACCGACTGAATGGAGTGCTCGATAAGAGTTTTGGCGAAAAGAACAATGGAAAGAGGATAGGCAGAAATATGATCGTTTTAGGTATTGGAATCGTTTCAAACGAAAACGGTGCAGGGGAAAGGACCACTGGCAGAGTGCAGCTACTGGCAGGACCGGGAGAGAGGATTATTGATGTTAGTCGAGCAGCTCAAGACTCCGATGGCCCGAAGGATCTTAGGGCTGCTGAACAAAGTGCTCTCGCCAATAGCCTCCAACTTCGAGTTCTTCTATGCTGATTTGTGGAAGTATTACGCCGAAGCCAGGGACAACGATCGATTCCTCCAGACTGTCATTAGGCACTTCAAAGTGAGCGGAATATGGCAGCGAGATTTTCATTTGTTTCGATGTTCTGAAATAATATTCAATTATGTAGTGGACCTTCAGGGATTGATTCGGAACGAATGTTTTTAGATACTTGATTTTATGTTTCGACTGTTGATGTTTATTCTGTGGGAGTTATTGTGACTGTTTAATTCATTCGTTACAGTTGAAAGCTAGAGTCTGAAGGTAGGTAAATAGGAATTTTTTTAGTCCAGATTTTAACTGTAATTTTGAAGGTGACACTGTAATTGATAAGGGGATATTGTAGTTTCTAAAGCGATACTGTAGTTACTGAGACAATACTGTGCTTCTCTAAGTAACTGCGAGGTTGTTTCTTGGAAGCTTCAAAAGTTGGAGATGAGATGATTAACACGTTCGCTATCAGTGCTTATTTCGGTGACGGTCTCCTCAATTATAATATTTTCTTCAATCCAATGAATCTTCTAAAGAAAATATTAGAAAAATGAAACTGAAACGAATCATTGAGTTCCTAAATATAATGTCGTAGTTTATAATTTCTAATAATAATATCTAATAATAATATCCATTACGACCGTCACAAATGTGTGACGCTGGTGGCGAACGTGTTAAAAACTGTCGGGAAATATTGCAACTCTCCGGAGATCCAATGAATTTAGATAACATGGTACTAGATTGATTAGAAGGTAAAAAAGTGTCCCAACGTGATATCGTTTAAAACTGTTTAAAACTGCAGGTGATCACAGAAACGGACGACTTCAAATCAGCAACGCAGTCCGTCCTATCGTTGCCGGAAGGACTGAGAATGATATGGATTCTGTCGTCGTATTACTCGTCCGAAGACAAGATGATAATTCTAATGGAGAGAGTATCCTGGCAGCTTTGTCAGACAGTTATAAAATACTTGGACATCAAGGACCTGTTCAAGTTAGTTGACTTCTTTCTACGATAAATGAACGCAACACACAGAGAGACCTACCAGTAAACATCGTTACGCAGGAAACCGCTGGAAGAGATTCTACGAAAGACAAAAGATGCGCGCGTGATGCTGAAAAGCTGGAAGAGCGCGTACCTGAAAGTCAGGAAGGAGATCGAGGAATCAGGCAAAGGGACTCGCTGGGAGTTCGATCAGAAAAGACTCTTCAAGAGCACCGAGTACATTGCCTCCGTTTGCAACGGTTTGAATCAAGTGGCTGGTGTTCTTGAAGATTTTTACAACATCTTCGGTCCATACTTGAAGTCGATCATCAGCGATCCGGCGCAGATAGACACCATAATAAAGAGAGTCGGCAGATTGGTCCTGCCGATCCAGGACGCGGATTTTAATGTATACGATGAGTTCAACAGGGAGAACTGGGAGGCTACGATGTCCTTGTTCTACGAGGAGGTTAGGTTCCTCGAGAATGAAGCGAGATTCTTCATTGACGAGTGCTTCATGGTTCTGATCAGCGCGGAACAGGCGCTCGAGGTGTTGCTCAAGTTTAAGGACATGAAGACCAGGACTAGCATCCAGCAGCAACTTTCGAGGAAGTTTGATGTCATCATGCAACAGTTCAGCAAGGAAGTTAGCGCTGTGGAGGCTATATACAATCGAGGTGGGATGTCGCTTGTTTCGTACATCAAGCTACATGCTGATGCCTCTGAAACGTTAACACGTTCGCGGACGTGAATGCTATAGCATTCATTCTCATTGTGAAGCAAAATAACATGAATGCTATAGCATTAATTCCCATTGTGATGCAAAATAACATGAATGCTATGACATTGAAATTTATAAGCCACACTGTAATGAATTTAATTCTATGTAGCCTTAACTTTTTGAAATTATTATGCACTTTAACCTTCGGAGTACGGCATTTGCATTTTTTCTATTTTTGTGGCTCATTAAAATTTGTACTGATTTACTTTGTTCGAGAATTGTTCGAGACACTTTGAAATTTCAGGAAAACGATATCCGCCTTTGCTAACCTACCATCCGCCAATGGCTGGTGCAATATTCTGGATAAGGCAATTGTTCCATCGTCTGAGAAGACCAGTTCTGATCCTGCAGGAGGTACTGGAACTGAAGCACAGCGAATTGAAGCTGGTCGCGTTCAGTCAATACCTGGAAGTAGCGAAACAGATGAAAGCTTTTGAGGAATCTAAGTTCAAGAATTGGGTGGACAAGGCTCAGATGGTCGTGTTGAACACCATGAAGAGGAGCATCTTGAAGATGGTGCAGTCGGAACCGGACAAAGGTTCTTTGTTTTGCGTTTTATATGTTAATAATAGTAATTAAGGAAGCGAGGTAGAAATTGAATTTGTTCGTAGGTATGTTAACGTTCCCGGATACGGAGAAACCGGGGAAAAACGTTCAGACGATTCACGTGTCGAGGAAAGCGAGGACTAAGGATTTTGGATCGGTCGGATCGACACTGTTGGGATCTGTACACAAGGGATACGGTATACTGTCCAAACCTAGCATCCGTGAGTTGAAACTTTTTGAAAATTCTGGGATTCGGTTAGATTTAAATTTGAAATTTGAATTTGAATTTGAGTAAGATATTTGAAATTCGAAATTGGAAATTTAAAATTTGAATTTGAATAAGAAATTTTTTATTTTAAATTTGAAGTTGCAGTTTAATGTTCACCACAGCTTTAGTTTCTAATTGACCTCTTATGTCAAGTTTGATCAAGTATATGTCACGATTCGACAGTTTCTAGAGGAGACACTATCAGTTCAGCGATCGGCGGATCGAGGGTGCAGATCCGGGAAATGAAACAGGAACACAAATCGGTTCTCTCCTCACACAGGGAGAAAACATCGACGATATCCTCGGCCATGGAGAAACCTGCACCCCAATCGCTGAAGCAGACGTGGACGGAATTCATGAGTGGTTCGATTTTGATCGAGTGCCAACTACGCTTCCAAGTGAACTTCAATTGGGAAGTTTTCGAGATTATTCACGAGGTGTTCGTCAATGGAATTACAATCAGATCGATCTACCGTTAATGATCTCGCTTATCTACTCGTGTCTGATTACAGGCTGAGTTAATGGAGCAGTTGGGCTTCGAATTGTCACCGGCGGTAAAGGAAGTCAGTATCCAGAAAGATCGATTGAGAAAGGATATCGATGTTCTGCAAAGAGTCATTGATCAATATAACAAAATGTTGGACAGGATAACTAAAGCTGATGTACGGTTTCTCATTATTCATTCTTCTATTATTTATTAATACTAACTTTATCACTTTACTAACTTAATTCTATTCAATTATCAAATTTATAAATTTATCCATTTATTTTAGCCGTATTCTCATTTTCCAAGGACGCTTTTGAATTTGATTTCTGCTTTTTCAATAATACTTGAAATCTATAGAAAAACAAAACTACTAGGATTAGAATTATTACTAAATAGAAGAGGAATAAGTTAAATATATTTTTATTTGTTTTACGATATCGAAGTTAGTAATATTTTATAATTGTCTTTATCCCAAATAGATCCAGTTATTAAAGCACATTCTCCTGGATATCGAGAAGCATATTCAGCCAGGAGTGATGCGCATCAACTGGGATTCCCTGAATATAGCTGACTTCGGGCACAACTGTGAGAAATTGCTGAAAAACCTGAACTCCATCATCGATCAGACGGACCAGATGAAGAAAGATCTGGACAATAGGATCTTCTCCGATCTACAGAGATATAATTTGTTCACTTTGCCTCCTGACTTGGCTGAGGGATTGGAAGAATTATTACCATGCAAGGTTCGAGTCATTTAACCAAACTCACGATTCTCTGTTCGCTTCAATTTATTAAAAGAATAATCAAGAAGTTGGAAGGATTTCCAAGAAGCTTTTCATTCAAAAATTTCAAGTCAATCAAAATTTGTAATCGATAAACGAACGTTTAATATATTTCAACGAATTTATTTTCGACAAACGTTTCAAGACTTATTTCCAAGAGATCCAAAACCGAAGAACAGAGCTGGCCTCCTCGATGAGGAAAATTTACGAGTCGATGGGTCCGTTGCTGATGAAACTGGAAAGCCTCGTGCTGGGAACAACTACCGGAAGAAGTCCTGCCATGCAACTCTTCTATGAAACATATGAGAAGAAAATATTCGGCGCTTTCATAACGTGAGTTATCTTTCTCTAAATAGATTGATCATCCAATCAGCACTCATTAAATTACAAGTAGTTTTTTCAATGAAAAGGAAACTGGAAAATTAAGATCTTTCATAACGATTCTTCTTTTAATTGTCTCGCTTTTCACAGATCCACCAAATTCAGTTTTTTTGATGCGTCACTGATAATGAGGAAATTAATTTTCATGTCTATATAAAAATCAGTGTCACCCAAATTGTATTCGAATCATTGTTTCAGCTGCATGGTGCAGAACATAGAAGTGTTCAACAAAACCCTGACGAGTTTCAAGCCGATTTTTCAAGTGGACGCGGTGCTGATTGCCTCGGAAGCTGTTTTGAGACCGTCGCCGGCTGAAATCTATCATATCATCCTTCAGAACGTGAAGTATATGTTCGACGAGCTGAAACGTTTCCCTAGGTGGATGAATGGCAGCTGTCTCGAGTGCAGGCCGATCAGAAGGACCAACGTGGACGATCTAGTGACCTTCAGTTTCTTCGAGGACGTCATGAACATTCAAGTAAATCGCTTGTCGTAAATCATTTGTCGCTAATTCACAGTGATTGTTCGCGCAATCGCTAGAACATTGAAAGTACGAATATCACTTTGATTGTCATGTCACTTGAAGTTGGATGACAGAACTTCTTGTACTTCAAAGTTAATAAGAAATTAAAATTTAGAAAAACCGAGAAGTTCGGTAAACTAAAATAAGTAAACAGAAAATTAGTTTTCTTCTTGAGATATTGAATACATTGAATTTTTCTGGATTCGTGAGATATAAGAAGGTGAAGAGTTGGTTCTCATAGCTGATGAGAAATCGTGATCTCTCAATTTCTATTTAGTTAAAGAAAGGAATGTTAATGACTGTTCATTCAGTAGTCAATGTGATATGGAAGGTACAATGAAATGTATTCTCGAAATGAACGATGAATAATTAATGTTAGGCGGTGAATGATAGCATCCTGATGGTACAGTCGTCCGTGTACAAACTGGTGATGGATTGCTCGTACTATCTGCACAGATGGAAGAAGTACAGCAATCTCTGGGCGTTCGACAAGAAACTGGCCGCCGAAAAGTTTGCCGCCACGTCGCCCACGCTTTTCCAGTACGACGAGAAGTTCACTTTCTACGAGAATATTCTCGAGGAGCTGAACGACATTGACTCTCACTACGACGTGTATTGCATACGGTAAAATCTTCTTGATTTCGCGATTAATTGTTTAAAAGACATTCAAACAGCATTAATAACAGTGAAAAATACACATGGAACAACAAATGTGTTCATAGAACGGAATAATTTTGAAACCTTGAACGATATCTGTTCAACTGTCACGAATACATCATCGTTATTTCTTATTTTCGGTTATTTTGATTTACGATGACAGTAAAGAAACTTTTCTTCGCGATTCTGCAGTATCAACCTACATCTGCTCCTCTCCGGCATCGAGAAGCACGCAGAAGAGTGGAAACAGGTGCTCGGAGATTTCTTGCTTTCCCAAACTGTCGAGGGTATGATCGATTTAAAATCAATCATCGAAACATTCCGATCCGAGGTCGAGCTAGTGATCACCGGCTTGGATCGTTTCACGTCCGTGATGCAGGCGATCTCTGACATCAAGAAGACCGCCGTACAAGCCGAAGTTCGATTCAAAACTTATCAGGTGTTTTGTCGAATATTTCGAACGTGCAACTTCCGTTTCTTTTGCATTTTCTTCTTCTTTCTTCATCAGCTTTTCCTTTTTCTTCCTTTGCTTTTATTTCTCCTTTTCCCCTCTCTTTTGCTTTTACCGTTACCTTTGATCTTTTCTTTTTCTCTTACTTTTGCCTTTTCGTTTTTCTCTTTCTTATACTTTTGCTGTTTCGTTTTCCTTTCCTTTATTTTTTTCTTGTTCCTCTTCTTCGGTTTCTTTCCCTTTTGACTTTTGCTTCCTTCGTCTCCTTCTCAAAGAACGAAATACACGAATCATGAAATTGACTTCAGGAGACGTTCAAAACGTTCCGCAGCCACGGCATATCGTTCCCAGAGGAAGACGAGCAGCTGGCGTACGATCTTCAGCATGATTGGGAATCACTGTATCTCGGCGCGCTCTACAGAGCCTCCACTCTGGAGAGCACTTCTGATAGATTCGCAGACATGACCAGAGAACAGATAGAGAATTTCGTGCGGGAGCTGGCGGAGTTCGCCGCCGACTTCCGGCAGAACGGTCCCGGGAGCGTCGGCGAAAATTTGGAGCTTGGCTTGAAGAAAATGGAAGTACGTCGTGCAGAGAACGTGTTTTCCTTCGGTTCCATTTTCTACTTCTAGCGAATGCTTGCAAGAGTGTCATTCTGGAAAAAGTTTTTTTTCAAGATGACTTCGAAGTTGAATAAGCTTTCCTTTTTAAGTTCCGTTTTTTATTAATAAAATGATGCTTCTAAACAAATCCTCTTAGTAATCTGATCACGAATCTTTATAGAAGACATTGAATAATTGTGGAATAACTTTCAGAAAATCTTTAATACAAGAAAATTATCCCTCGTTTGAATTCATTAGACTGCTTCTAGAAATTTCTGTTTCCTCCGATTCTGCGGCTAAATTGCAACACATCATTCCCTAAACTTTCAACTATCTTCACGTTATCCTAGATATTCATTATTACATGTATCAAATATTAAATATTAAATATTATTATTATGTATATTATTAATAATAAGAAATTTTAGGAGTACAGTAAGAAGATCGCGAAACACGAAGAGAGAAGGCAAGCGATGATCAACTCGGAATTGCTGTTTGATCTTCCGGCGACCGATTACTCGGTGTTTTTGGACGTGAAGAGAGACTACGAAGGCATGGAGCTGCTGTACAAGTTGTACAAAGAGCAGAAGAAAGCGAGGGACGAGTGGGCCCAAACGCTCTGGGTGAACCTGAATCCTCAGCTGCTGATCGATGGCATGGACCATTTCATTAGGGAGTTCCGACGGTTGCCAGAATTCATTCGGAAGTTCTCCATCGGCCAGGCTCTGGACGCGAACATGAAGAACTTCAAGAACTCGGTGCCCTTGTTCATCGAACTGAAGAACGAGGCTATGCGGGAGAGACACTGGAAAGACTTGATGAAGAAGACGGGACAGTATTTCGATATGAACCTCGAGAGGTGCGGCGATGACTAAACGACGAGTGAACGATCAAATAGTTCTTTTAAAAATCAATGACGATTTAATTTCGATAAGACAGTTCATTTAATTTCAACGAAAATCACTGACAACTTAGTTTTCTTAAAATCGAGTGATGCAATTGGTCGAGTTTCGTTAGGAAGAGATAATTAGTGTAACTTGTGGAACAGTGTACAGTCTTTCGATTGTCATAGATATTTGAAATTTTTATTGTAAAGTCGATGAGAATTTTCTTACTGTTGACTAGATAATTTCTCTTCGGCTTGAAGAGAATCTTCTAGTTTAAATATACTTCTTGTTTAGATAGAATCTTTTAGTTTAGATACAATAGAATATTCTTGAGTTTCTTTTGTATTGTTTGTATATTTATTTCCTTTATTTGTGTTTCTATTGTTTTTAAATAGGATACATTTTGTATGGTAAATTATATGGTGTAGATTAGGAAGCGACGTGGATGTTCCTTGAACAGTGGCTTCCAGGAAATAAAGGATCGTTTTTGTTTTAGAAAGTAGATAGCGATACAGGTGTCTAAACAGTTATATGATCTTAATAAAAAGAGATAAGAGGCTTTTAGGTGATGGAACGGAATGAGATAAAGATATTGAAGGGGTGAGTGAAACGTGCAGGTGTTTAATATAGAATCACTGGCACTGATCGCACCTTTTTAATGGCAATAGTGAAGGTAACGGTGAAAGAGTAACCTTTTTGAATTACGTCTCGAAGGTTCACTCTGGAGAACATGTTCGCAATGGAGCTGGGAAAGTACCAAGACATCGCGAAAGAGATTGTAAGGAACGCCGTGAAAGAACTCTCCATAGAGAAAGGTTTGAAGGAGCTGGCCGAAGTCTGGAAGAATATGCAATTCACTGTCGTGAAACACTATAAAGGTATGCTAGTCGCTGGTCCGTAGTAAATTACATAATTCCCTGTACCCGTAGACCACTTTCCAAAAGAAGAAGCTGAAACTGCGGGGAAACTTATGAAGAGAAAAACGCCGGCTATTACTCTAAACCCTTAATTTACTACGTCCCAGCGTAAAACCCGTTTGAAATCGTTGACGAAACTGAATAACCAGTTTTAACTTCATTCTAACTAAATTTATTGTAGTCTACTAAGTAGATTAAGATTAAAATCTTAATGCCCAGTTAATATCGAATTTAGTACAACGATTGCTACCAATTACTGGTGTCGAGATAAAGAATATAATTAATTTTATTAGCATACTATAACCGTTAGTAACCATTCGCACGCAAATGTTTGTAGTAACAAGTATAATTGCAAGTGAAGCTTTGGTTCTAGATGAAATCCAAACAGCGGAAAACAGTTCATGAAGTATTTAGTTTGTTCATCGTTCTCCAGGTACCGAAGACCGAGGTTTCATCTTAGGTCCCATCGACGAGCTGAATCAAGTTCTCGAGGACAATATGATGAACGTGAACGGCATGGCCGCCTCCCAGTTCATTGGTCCTTTCCTCAGCAACGTGCAGAAGTGGGAGAACATCATGCACACAATATCCGAGGTGCTCGAGCTGTGGACACAGTTGCAAAGGAAGTGGTTGTACCTCGAAGGCATCTTCGTGGGCGGTGACATCCGGCTACAATTGCCGGACGAGGCGAGGAACTTCGATGAGATCGATAAGTCATTCAGGAAAACCATGACCGACACCTCTAAGAGGCTGAATGTTCTTGACTGTTGCATGATCACGGGTACTGTTCACTTCTCCTAGCTTTTGAATATTTGGTCTTTAGAAAATATCTTTGCAAACACTGCTTTTTACTTTTCAATATGTTACACTTGCAAAAGATTTTCTCTATCAATGAATGATACAATTTTCTTCTTTGCTAGAAGATTGATTCATAATCTTTTCGATTTCAATAAGTCGTCAAGATCTTTTAAACTACTTGTGTCTTTTTTAAACAATAATTATTACCGAGTCCATTGAAAGTACAATTCTTCATAGAGAGATTCTTTTCGCGTTTGACTAATTCTCTCAAATTTAAGGTCGAAAGGAAGAGTTTGAGTCAATGATCCACGGACTGGATAAATGCCAAAAGTCCCTAACAGATTATCTGAACTCGAAACGCGCCATATTTCCGCGATTCATGTTCCTGAGCGATGACGAGCTGTTAAGCATCCTCGGCAGTGGTGTGCCATCCGCTATCCAAGAACACGTGGGCAAGATGTTCGACAATCTGGATAGATTCAGGTTCGAGACGAGTAGTATGGATCGCGTGATGGCGTACGCGTTGATCTCCTGCGAGAAGGAGGTGATGGAGTTCAGGAACCCTGTACTAGCTGAAGGGAAGATCGAACAGTGGATGGTGGCCGCGACCGAGGAGATGAAGAAATCGAATCGGTACTTGACGAAGAAGGCGGTCTACAATTACGGAAAGGTGAAATTGAATATTCGCTCGAGTAGACATTTTTTTTCGACCTTTGTGAGTTCATTGTACGATTATTGAAAGAAGTTAGTTGAACACTTCCTTTTGTAATAACAGATATTTGAATCGTTCACAGGTGAAAAGTTTTCAAATTTCAGGGCTAAAGTACTTAGTCCTTCTGTATGTAATTTCATCAAATTCTATTTTTAATTTTGTGGAGTCGATCACTTTGGCAAGTGGACATCTTATTCAATGTAACGCTTAATCTTGATAATTAAAGACAATGTTCTTTAGGTGAGGAGACCGAGGACAGAATGGATGTTGGACTTCCAAGGGATGATGATCCTCGCGGCGGATCAAATATGGTGGACCGCCGAGGTCGAGAACGTGTTCGTGAAGATTGCTAGTGGGGAGAAACGCGCTATGAAAGAGGTAGTCTCATAGAATCTTCATTGGCCGTAAATAAATAATAAATTAATGCCATTTGTTGTAGTAAGGGTAGCCTGGTTATTTGTAATCTAAACATTCTGATTGGATTCCGAAAAACTTAAAGACACCAGCTATCTAGAGCATATTTTCTACAAAAGGTCTAGAATATGTTATCTTGCACTGCCACGAAAGAGCTGTAGTAATTTTAGAGATAAATTAATCTGGAATGTGTTACTTGTATTGCCACCAAAGAACTGATGTAATATTAGAAATAAATAATAAATTAATGCCATTTGTTCTAGTACTTGAAGCAACTCAATAATCAGTTGAACGAAGTGGTAACATTGATGGGCGGCGATACATTGACGAACAACGACAGAAAGAAATTCGACATGGTGCTGACGATCGACGTTCACATGAGGGACATCGTGGAAGGTTTTGTCAGGGACAGCGTCATGGATCCCGTGGAGTTTGAATGGGAAAGTCAGCTGAGGTTCTACTGGGTCCACGATCTGGACAATATCTGGATGCATCAGTGCACAGGAACATTCGAATATGGATACGAGTACATGGGTCTCAATGGCAGGCTGGTGGTCACACCTCTGACCGATAGGATCTACCTGACTATTACTCAGGCTCTTTCTATGCACCTGGGAGGGGCACCTGCAGGTGACGCGATCGATAGATAAGGGATTTTATGCATTCGCTTAGCATAACACAATGTAAAGATGGTTAAAAATGCTAGAAAAAAACTTGATTTAATGCTGCAGTGGCAAAGCGATAGGAAGGTAGCTAAGCTGTTGCACTGAAGGATCGAGTAATAAAGTTAATTCTACATTAGAACAACTGAGCAGCTAAACAGACTTTTCTTTATTTTTTTTATAGAAGCTGCGCGTATTGTGATTTCTATTGATTTCTATTTTAGTTTATCTACTATGACATGAACTTATCCAGTAAATACTTTACAGAAAGCATTCGTATTCTTTCAATAGTTGAGGCATGAACTACCTAACTTTTCTACGAGTAATTTCATTATTCCAGGTCCTGCTGGAACAGGAAAGACCGAGACTACGAAGGACTTAGCTAAGGCTTTGGGGCTCCTGTGTATCGTGACAAATTGTGGCGAAGGAATGGATTACGTTGCTATAGGGAAAACTTTGAGCGGGCTGGCTCAGTGCGGTGCTTGGGGATGCTTCGACGAGTTTAATCGTATAGATATATCCGTGCTCTCTGTGATCTCCACGCAGCTACAAACGATACGGTCCGCTCTGCAGGTGAAAGCAAACAGATTTAGGGTAAGTTAGATTTTTTATATTATTCCATTAGAATTAGAATTAGTGTTAGAATTAGTAATTATTACATTAGAATTAGAGTCGCAACAGAGTTTCTGTTAGATCCTAATTTCAATAAGTTTAATAATTAATTGATCAAAAGCATCAATATTGTTTGACGGTAGTTCGAGGGCCAAGATATAATTCTCGACACGAAAGTGGGAATATTCATCACGATGAATCCCGGTTATGCCGGTCGCACGGAACTTCCGGAGTCTGTGAAAGCGCTATTCAGGCCAGTGGTGTGCATAGTACCCGACAACGAATTGATCTGCCAGATAAAGCTCTTCAGCTCTGGCTTTTTGACCGCCAAAGTTCTGGCCAAGAAGATGACGGTCTTGTACAATCTAGCCCGGGAGCAACTGAGCAAACAGAATCATTATGATTTCGGTTTGAGAGCTCTTAAGTCGGTGCTAAACATGGCAGGCCAGCTGAAGAGAACTTCCGGTGACCTCGAAGAGAATGTAGTCCTGATGAGAGCGTTGAGGGACATGAACCTACCGAAATTCGTTTACGACGATGTTCCTTTGTTCTTGGGACTAATCGCTGATTTGTTCCCTGATCTCTCGTGCCCGAGGGTCCACTACTCTGACTTCAATGAGGCAGTTAACGTGGTCCTAGAAGAACAAGGATATTCTGTGTTAGATCATCAGGTAACCGAATCATGCATAACTAAGATTAATTCATTTGTGAAACTATTTATTTTTCATATTATTTCTATGAGCGTTTGAACATGTTTTTGGTCATTAGAAGTTCATGTGAGGTCCAAAATGACTATAGAGGATCCACCTAAAGCCTAGATGGATCGTTAGGATCCATCTCAGACTATAGTGGACTTTTAGAATTTATGTAAATGACGAAGTGAGTTCAAAAGACCCCAACAAAAGTCCTGAGATTTAAGATGAACCTTGAAGGATGGGCGTAACAGCAAAAATGGATATAAAAATATCAAAGGATATAAAATCTAAACAGACCAAAGAGTCTATTCCCTAACCCCAATGTCAATGAATTCTAATCGTTAGATCGACAAAGTGATTCAGCTATACGAAGTTATGATGACTAGACACTCAACGATGGTAGTGGGACCAACTGGAGGTGGCAAGACCGTTGTGATCCAGACTCTCTGCAGAGCTCACACTCGCCTGGGCAGGCAAACGAAATTGTACATCTTAAATCCAAAGGTATGCTCCTCGAATCTTCTAAAAGGACGATCAGAAAATATTAATTAACGTTATACATGTTTAGGCGTGCACAGTGATCGAACTGTATGGCGTGCTAGATCCGGAGACTCGCGATTGGACGGATGGCCTGCTGAGCAGCATCTTCCGGGAGGTGAACAAACCTCTAGAAATGGACTCGAACGAATTGAGGTACATCCTCTTCGACGGTGACGTGGACGCCTTGTGGATCGAGAACATGAACTCCGTGATGGACGACAACAAGCTGCTGACTCTGGCCAATCAGGAGAGGATCAGGATGCTGAACCATTGTAGTCTACTGTTTGAGGTGATCATTAATAATCTTCTTCAGAATATTTTAAACATAATAAGATACTCTTAGAATTTTGTAATCTAGCCTCGAGAAAATTCTTGTAAACTTCTAGAATTAAACCTTTAGGAATGGCGCCGGTACATAGATTCTGCTGCCTTTATACTTTTGCGTTATATAAGTATCATTTTTATTCGAGTTTTCAGAATTCAAACTAGCTATAAAAGATGTCAATAATACAATAGTAGTAATATAGAAATTCTAAATTAATCACAAATTATAGTACCATCTATGGAGAAACAAGAATTCGAGGAAAAACCGAAAGAGACTGAGAACTAGATGTTACTGACGAGTTAAAAGTCGATGCGATATTCTTCTCCGATTAGTCGACTAATCGAGCGAATCTCACTCGCAAAAGGTAGGCGATCTGCGGTACGCGTCGCCGGCGACGGTGTCCCGGGCAGGCATGGTCTACGTGGATCCGAAGAACCTCGGCTACCAGCCATACATGGACAAATGGGCCCGCGACAAGAACCAATCCGATCAGGAGCAACTGGCCGGAATGTGCGAGAAATACGTGGACGGCGCGGTCCAGCTCATTATACACGGCATGCTGGGTCTGCAGTCGGTCAAACCGCTTAGGATGATCATACCGCAGACGGGGCTGAACATGGTAACGATTAAATCCCCGGCGGGCTAATTAACTCCGCTGCGTATGGCCATCAAAACTCGAAGAAAAAACTTTGCGATACTTTCGATAGATCACCGGTGATGAATCCGTGGATCTTTTCACTGCATTACTTAGCACCTCATTATAGTAGATCGCGATAATGACTGTTAAAGGAGATCGGACGTCTAACGATCGGACACCAGATCTTTATGGGAATCGTAACTTTTCGAATAAATTCGAAACTTCCAGTTTCCAGGGAGAATTATGTCCAATTAGAAACATAATGCGGGTTTCATTAAACTTTAGTAACGGAGGACTAAGCCTCGTTGATGTCTCGCACCTTGCTGACTCTTTGCATCGAACTATTAAACGCAGCTCGTTAGTTTTTTGTATGTCACAGTTACGTATCGAAGTTCTTTTTCTTTATTGTATACTTTAAATTGCGTCAAACTCATTGGACCATTGGCAATTACTTTCAATTGCGCAGATGGTTATCTGTGTATATGGTTGTATAATATATTCCTTAGTTGTGGATGGTTGATTAAAGTAAGTGTACTATTTTGTTTTCTTTTAGAAATTTCAAAATATTACAGCACGGGTTACTTCTCTAGGATCTTTTTTTATTTAATACTTTCTTCTTTTCCTTTGGCATTTAATGCACGATGTAATGATGAATTCTTGTTTCGGTCTGATGCAGGTTTAATGAATAGTTTCGACCGATACTGACTATTTTCACCGTTGCCGTTTAAATCTATGTTTCCGTGTTTAGGTGACTCAACTGTGTTACGTATTCGACGGTCTACTTTCGGTTTTAAATGACGTGTCAGTTAAATTCGAGGAAGACGAAGACGCGACAGTGGAACCGAAGACTACTAGACCTGAGATTCTAGAAGCGATGTACATACAAGCTTGTTATTGGTCGCTAGGAGCTACCCTGATCGCCGAAGATAAGCCCGAATTCGATGACTACATGAAGAAGACAGCTGGTTTTATGCTCGTGCAGGACACCCCTGAGAAACCAGCCACAGTGAGTAAGTTAATCATCGTTTCTAATTAAAAAATCAAACGTAAAATCTTCTTGGAGCTGATTCTTTTATTTTAATTGTTCATTTCTTAACTAATATAATTGAATGTTACAGTGGAAGTCAATGTTTAATATCTACATCTTGATTAAAATTTGGTGATATGTTTTATTCATGATTTATCGTTAGGATATCTGCCGGTCACGTACAAATTGTTGTACGATTATTATCTGGACGTCGAACAGAGCATCTGGTTACCATGGAAAACCTTGGTCCCTAATTACGTTCATGACAGGCAAAAGAACTTCTCGGAGATTCTGGTTCCCACCATCGACACCCTGCGAACCACTTGGTTCATCCGGACAATGAATAATCTCGATCGGCCGACGTTGCTCGTCGGAGAAACTGGCACCTCGAAGACCGCCATTATTCAGGAGATCCTTCGTAACTTGAGCTCAGAGAAGTTCGTAAGTTTCGATGGATAGTTTCAACGATAGCAAACGATGCATTAGGTTGTTTGAATTTCTTATCGGATGACTCACAAAAGATAATAGAGAATAATAAAAATAACGATTCGAAAATGTTAAAAAAAGTAAAAATTTGACATTTCATATTTAACAATCTAATGAATGGTAGAATTCCAATGTTTCGATGAACAGAACCAACTTTTGATCAATTTCTCGTCGAGAACGACCTCGATGGACGTGCAGAAGAACATAGAAGCTGTCGTCGAAAAGAGGACCAGGGAAACTTTTGGACCACCGCCTGGGAAGAAGCTGCTGATCTTCATCGACGACATGAATATGCCATTAGTAGATACTTACGGCACTCAACAACCCATCGCTCTACTCAAGTTTCTCTTCGAGATGGGAGGATTTTACGATCGAGGGAAAGATCTTAATCTAAAATATATGAAGGACCTCTGTAAGTGGATTCGAAAGATGCGTATAAAAAGATAATTAGTGAATGTAAGGTTGTTAGTGAGTAATTTGTTACAGGTTACCTAGCTGCAATGGGGAAGCCTGGAGGAGGCAGAAACGAAGTGGATCCGAGATTCATCTCCATGTTCTCCGTTTACAACGTTACAGTTCCATCGAGAGAGACCTTGAACTACATCTACAAGAGCATCTTGGATGGACACCTGGCAATATTCGAAGAGGACGTGCAAAGTATCTCTGAGACTCTAGTGCAAACTACACTGGAACTATACGAGGTTTGTTTAGTTCTGCATTACCATTATCATGGTCTTCGATTTAACAACTTAACCTTGCTCTTGCTAGATAATCACGACAGAAATGTTACCAACGCCGAGCAAATTTCACTACATATTCAACATGAGAGATCTATCCAAGATCGTCGCTGGTCTCTTGCAGAGTCATCCAGATTATTTGCCTACAACGAAGCAAATCGTTAGACTCTGGAGGAACGAGTTCAGCAGAGTGTTCTGTGATCGTCTGATCAACGAAGACGTAAGAATGATCCAGACCTCGTTCATTTGATGTGCATTTGATGAGTTTTGACATCGTAGGACGCGGTCGCGGTTGCCACGCATATAAAGGAGAAGATCGAAGAAAAGTGGGAGGAGGAACGCGAGATAATTGCGTATGCTATGAGGGATCCCCTGCTTTTCGGAGACTTCCGGAACGCCATTAACGAAGAGGATCCGCGATTCTATGAGGATCTACTGGACTACGAAGCTGTCTACAGTTTGTTCTTGGAAGTATGAGTGTTCTGTAACGTGAAACTAATTACCAATGCACAATTGATTATTCAAACACATCATCCAACCATATCTTCTGACTATGTTTATGACTAGACATTCTTTAAATACATTTTCTACTCTCTAAATTCTATCGAATCAATTAAAACGTTACAAAAACTGTTTGCACAGTATAAATATAAATGTTTTAATAGATATATGAGGACTACAACGAAAGGAATATGACGAAATTACACATAGTGCTGTTCAATGACGCGTTAGAGCACTTGACCAGGGTGCATCGTACGCTCAGGATGCACCGAGGCCACGCCTTAGTGATCGGGATTGGCGGGAGCGGCAAGAAATCGGTGATAAAATTGGCAGCGTTTGCAGCGCACTTCAGGCTCTTCGAGATCAGCCTCAGTCGCGGTTACAACGAAGCTTCGTTTCGGGAGGATATGAAGAGTCTTTACAATAAAGTTGGGCTAGATGAGAACAGAATCGTTTTCCTCTTCACGTCCTCTCACATTGTGGATGAGAGCTTCTTGGAACTGGTGAACAACATGCTGATGACCGGAGTAGTGCCATCCCTCTTCAGTGACGAGGAAAAGGACGAGATTGTTAATCGTTGCAGGGACAAGGCTAAAGAGGCTGGCTATGGAGTCACTAGGTGAAAAATTGTGCTATATCATTGCCTCGAAAACATAGTATAGATTTAATAAATAAACTTGGAATTTGTGGATAGACATACACCGAATTGGTGAGGGAAACTAAGGGGATTGGTAGAGTTGAATCAATGAGAATCGGTGGGAGGGGCTAGAGAGAGGTTATGGAACGAGCTAGAAAGAGATGGGAGAGAACTAAGGTGGGAGGAGTCAATGATGGGACGGACTACATGAATATTCTGGGAGAAGCTAAGTAGATATGATGAGGAAAACGATTAAGTATTAGTGGAATGAACTGATGAGAATAGATTAAAGTAGTCAGACAACAATGGTGGAAGATGAAACCGGGTATTATTCAGTGAGTAAGTTAATAAATTTCCTTATACTCTGTATAGAGAAAGCGTTTGGTCGTACTTCGTGAAGACTAGTATAACAAATTTACGAATCGCTCTGTCGATGAGTCCGTCCGGGGATTTGCTGAGAACGAGATGTCGGAATTACCCTGGCCTAGCAAACAGCACCACCATAGACTGGATGTTCCCCTGGCCGGAGGAAGCACTAGTGGCCGTGGCTAACGTTACCCTCAGAGATGTATGTCTATGAATACTTGGCACCGGAACGATTTCATGTTTAGCAAATATCCTACTTTGATCCATTTCGTGTGTTTAGATCGTGAACGTGCCCCAAGAATACAGAGAACGATTGGTAGAGCATATGGTGTACGTGCATAGAACGGTGTGCGATTATACGCTCGACTTTCAAACGAAGTTGCGCAGGCGGAATTATGTTACGCCGAAGCATTATCTGGATTTCATGAATACGTACCTGAACCTTTTAGTGGAGACGAAGGATTACATAAATTCGCAGTGCGATCGATTAGCTGGAGGTACTCCGATGATTGCGAAATCGCACATGTTTATGGAAATTGAAATTCTTACGGTCTATTTTAGCAGGAATTGACAAACAAATAGAAATTGATTCTCTTTAAAAATAAATGTTAGGAAGAATCAGTTCGTTCTAGAATTTTAGAATAATACTTTGCAGGTTTGCAGAAGATCGCCGAGGCTTCGGTGACTCTAGCCGAGCTGAACGAGATCCTAGCGGTGCAACGAGTGAAGGTAGCCGATCAGACGAGAAATTGCGAACAATTGCTCACCTCTATCGGTGAGAGCACGGATATTGCGATGGAAAAGAAGCAGCTGAGCGAGGAAAAACGGAGGGAGATCGAGGACCAACGGAAAATTATTAATAAAGAACAGACGGAAGCGAGGCAGGTGTTGGCCGAGGCGCAACCTGCTCTCAACGCCGCTCGAATGGCTCTCGCGGAGCTAGAGAAGGCGGATATTACCGAGATCAGGTACTTTCCGCTTACGGAAGTTCGTGGTATTTCTAATAAAGAATCGATTCCCCTTGAAACGAAAAGCTACGAACTTGATTATAATACGCAAATATACCATGATTACTTTCTAGATCCTTCGCGACTCCTCCGGAACCCGTGCAAATAGTCTCGGAATGCGTGGCCATGCTGCGAGGCGTCAAAGACATCTCCTGGAAGGGCGCTAAAGGTATGATGAGCGATCCAGCGTTCTTGAGGATTCTGCAGGAGATGAACTGCGACAAGATCACCCTGAAGACGCAGCAAGCGGTCAAGGCTCATTTGAGGAAGAGTACAAAACTGGACCAGATGCAGAATATCAGCAAGGCTGGTTTCGGTCTGTACAAGTTCGTGCTCGCTGTGTTGGACTACTGCGCCGTATACAGAGAGGTAGGCAGGTTGTTCTATAATCTGATTTCTAAAAACATAAAGACACTAGCTATCTAGAGTTATTTTTTATAAACTTAGGTCTACAATGTGTTATCTTGTACTGTCAGTAATTTCAGAAATAAATTATTCTAGAATGTGTTACTCGTACTACCACAAAAGAACTGCTACAATGTTAGAAATAAATTATTCAGGTGAAACCGAAGATAGATCGAGTAACGGAGCTCGAGGCGGAATCGGAGCGCGCTCGGAAAGCTCTGGAGCGAGAGGAGCGCGAACTGAAGAGGATCGAGAAAGCTATAGGGGAGTTAAACGTGAAGTATGAGAACGCTATGGCGGAGAGGCAGAAGCTCCAAGAGGAGACAGACATCCTTCAGAGGCGGCTGATAGCCGCGGACAAGCTGATCAATGGTTTGTCTTCGGAGAACGAGCGCTGGAAAGCAGAACTGAAGGGACTGCAAGAGCAGATCGAGATGATCGTTGGAAATTGTGTACTGTCCGCTGGATTCCTCGCCTACTGCGGTCCATTCTCGTATGAGTACCGCAACCAGATGGTGTATGTAGACTGGAAGGGTAGTGTAGAGGCCAAAGGGATCCCATTGATAGAAAATTTTAAGCTAGAGACGCAACTGAGCAGCGACGTTGAGATAAGCACGTACGTAATCTGGGGGGAACACTATGAATTTGTTTATTTATTTATTTATTTGTTAATGGAGTTTTTATATAGAAAAATGTTTGTAGATTAAAATACCGAACTGAGATCTTTTTCTAGGTGGACCTCAGAAGGACTCCCGCCAGATGAACTGTCCGTGCAGAACGGTATTCTGACGATGAAAGCATCCAGATTCCCGGTTTGCATCGATCCTCAGCAACAAGCTTTGAACTGGATAAAGAAGAGGGAGCAGAAGAAGAATCTGAAGATCCTCTCGTTCACTGATCCAGATTTTCTCAAGCAAGTCGAGCTCGCGATTAAGTACGGGCTTCCGGTTCTGTTCCAAGATGTCGACGAGGTTGATCCGGTTTTGGATAACGTTCTGTCAAAGAACATTCAAAGTAAGGATCTTTGTTGCACCGAAATATTCGGTGGAAATGACGAGCGAAATTTGCAGACGTCAATGGTCGTACGTTCGTCCTCTTCGGTGATAAGGAAGTCGATTACGATCCGAAGTTCCGGATGTATCTGACCACGAAGATATCGAATCCCATGTTCGATCCAGCACTTTACGCGAAAGCGACTGTGATTAATTATATGGTGACGCTCGGGGTTAGTATCGCAGTTTTCATTTGTATTTGGTTCCTTTAAAGCGAGACAAGCTGTGGATACTGATATATGAGGATCATTTTAATGACTGGTGTGTTATTTATGGATTTTTATTGTAACTCCTTGAGGAAGATCGAATAAATCGAATACATCGAATGGGAGGTAGGACTAAGGGAAATTGTGGGGTTAGACCAATGAGCATAAGTGGGCGTGGCTAGAAATACGAAGTGGGAGGGACCAATAAAAAAGTGAAGAAAAGTACTTTCAATTTTACTCAGTAGAACTACAATAATTTAAAAACGACAATATGTAAAAAAGTTTTCATTCTAAATCGATATAAATAAAAAGAGCTATATCTATTTATGTATCAAAGAGCCTTTTTTCAGGGTCTAGAAGATCAACTCCTATCGGTGGTGGTGAGAACGGAGAGGCCAGATGTGGAAGAGCAACGGGAGAAGCTAATTATCGAGACCAGCGAGAATAAGAATCTCTTGAAACAACTAGAGGACAGTCTGCTGCTCGAGATCGCCAGTAATCAAGGTAACATGTTGGACAATTTCGATCTGGTCGAGACTCTGGAGAACACGAAGTCGAGCGCGGACGAGGTGATGAGGAAGTTGTATCTCGGAGAAGTTACTAGTGCGGATGTGAACAAGTTACGCGATGGCTACCGGCCAGTGGCGAAGAGAGGAGCGATCCTGTTCTTCGTGTTAGCTGATATGGCGATGGTGAACTCGATGTACCAGTATTCCTTGATCAGCTACGTCGAGGTTTTTGGCTTCTCTTTGAGGAAAGCTTTGCCAGACCCGACTCTTCTAAAGCGTTTAAAGAATATTATCGTCATGTTAACCAAGAACGTTTACGATTACGGTTGCACGGGAATCTTCGAGAGGCACAAGCTCCTCTTCTCGTTCCAAATCTGCACCAGGCTAGAGCTAAGCCTAGGACACGTTTCGCAGAAGGAACTAGACTTCTTCATCAAAGGCAGCGTTGCTTTGGAGAAAGCGACTAAAATAAACCCCGCAGACTGGTTGCCAACCACAGGCTGGGTGGATATGTTGAAGCTGAGCAAAGACTTTCCAGAAACGTTCAGACTACTTCCAGAACAACTACAACAGGATGACGAAGAATGGCAGAATGTGAGTTAGGCTTTAGTACTCTGAATTGATCTATGGTGGTCGAAATTATTTTATTATAGTTTAATAACATAATTGGTTTTAGTAGTTAGTAGTTTAGTGGTTTGTTAAATCCTAGTTATTCCTATTATTATTATCACAAGTGACTAGTAAAATAAATCTAATAAGGTATAATCGAAGAATGCTGTTAATTAATTATTGCATTATTAACCACCTTATCATTCATTTTGTCAGTGGTACGATTTAGACGCTCCAGAATCAGTGAATTTCCCTCTGGATTACTCCAGCAAACTGAAACCCTTCGAGAAACTAATGTTGATCCGGTGTTTCCGCGTCGACCGAGTCTATCGCGGTATCATCAACTACATCAGCGAGATCATGGGCGAGCAGTATGTCACCCCGCCGCACGTCAGCTTCGATATGATCCTGGAGCAAAGCACACCGACGATGCCTGTGGTTTTCATTCTCAGCCCTGGATCCGACCCAACCTCGGAACTAATGAAACTGGCGGACGGATATGGATGCGGAGGTGGAAAGTTCAAGTACCTGTCTTTGGGTCAAGGTCAAGAGGCTGTAAGAAACCTATGAATTTTATTTGGATTTTATGAATTTCATTTGAATATCATTGTGAAACGATATTGTTAAAGGAATCTAAGAAACTTATTTGGCCGTGATAATTTTTGTTGATCTTCAGCGTGGTTGTTTATTTTCAACAGTCAGATCAGTATTTGTTACAGAAAAACAATTTTAATTGAAAAATTTCCATAATTTTGTAGACTGCGATAGAGTTACTAGAGGTAGCAGTGACCAGAGGACAATGGCTGATGTTGCAGAACTGCCACTTGCTCTTGAGTTTCACTAGAGAATTGGAGAAACTTCTAGAAAACATTGGGAAGCCTCATCCAGATTTTCGTCTCTGGCTCACAACTGACCCGACCCCTAACTTTCCGATTGGAATTTTGCAACAATGTCTTAAAGGTTTGCGCTATTGTGGTTTAAAAGTTGAACCTTCAAAAACTCCTTCGCAGCGATTCTCAGTTTCTTTTAGCTTTGAAGTCATGTTATTGCTTCTTATTTTACAATAAAGACTCAATTACCATCTGTAGTGGTCACGGAGCCGCCGAGTGGTTTGAAGCTGAATCTCGAGAACACGTACTTCAAGATGAATTCTGAAACACTGGAATCTTGCGAACACCCTGTATACAAGCACTTGATTTACGTGTTAGCTTTTTACCACGCGGTCGTGCAAGTACGATGAATGAATTAATCAGTTTTTCGGTGGTTTCAATCGACTCTAAATGGAATTGCTACGACAGGAAAGGAGAAGATACGACAAAATCGGGTGGAATATAAACTACGACTTCAATGAATCGGACTTCAACGTTTGCACAACTATTCTCGACACTTATCTGACCAAAGCGCTTCAAGTTGGCGACGACAGGATCCCTTGGAACAGTTTGAAGTATCTTATAGGCGAAGTACTTCATTTTTTCTTGCCAATTCGCTGTCTAAATATCATTTTATTAACAAGAAAACTTCTTTGGCAATCGAAACATTCCATCATTTCTCATTTTAAATTCAAATTTTAAATATCTCTATACAATTATATAATATATACAGAATTTTCAATTTCCACCAAAGTTAAAATAAATCAGAATGTTCGAATTATAGAAGTTTCCTTGCAAAATATACTTCGCACGACTATACGAAACTTCGTACGAACTTCTCGTCGTTTTTTATTCTTTTTAATTGAATAATATTTTACAATGTAAAATGTTAAACGAATAATTTGACAACTAATTGTCAGGTGATGTACGGCGGACGAGTGATCGACAGCTATGATCGCCGGGTGTCCCAGACGTACATGGACGAATATTTCGGTGACTTTTTGTTCGACACGTTCCAACCGTTCCATTTCTATCACAACGAGCACGTTGATTACGTGATACCGTCGGAAGGGGACCGTGACGATTACCTGAAGTTCATCGAGGAACTGCCGCTGGTGAACACACCGGAGGTCTTTGGACTCCATCCAAACGCCGAGATTGGGCACTTCACCCAGGCGGTGAAGGAAATGTGGAGCAATCTTATAGAACTGCAGCCGCAAACTGGTAAAACTTTAACAAGACTTCGTTCGGTAGTGTAGACGTTTCAACTAACGAGCGTAATCAAACCGAGTTACTTCTTACGAAACAAGCGACCGGACGAATAAGAAATCTTAATCCATGCTCAAATTAGTTCAATGCATATAGACTATCAAACAGAAACAAACGTTTCAATCTTAAGTCATCGAAACGCAAAATTCTTTGTCACTTCGGTTACTTTAGTTTTCAAAAAAATATCCAATCTCTAACGATGCACACGAAAATTCTAGTAAGCTCGAGGACAACGAGTAAGTAGCGATTTCAAATAACGATAAAAGTAAGATACAAAGTAATGGTAAGAGAATTGTATTGATACAATAGAAGTGAGCAGCACAGGGGTGAGCAAAGATGAATTCATCGACAACATCGCGAAAGAGGTACTGGAAAAAGTACCGGCCGAGTATGATATTCACAAAGTGAAGAAAACTTACGGAGTAGCTGTAACGCCGATCGCGATCGTTCTCTTCCAAGAGCTCGAGAGGTTCAACGAACTAATTCGAACGATGAAGAGGACTCTCAGGCAATTGAGAAAGGTTTTCATATTCCTTAATCCTTCTTTTAACTTTCTCGTGTCTCTTGACGTCTGTTTCGTGCCTTTTGCTACGACTTTCAAGCTAAAAATGCAAAGTTCTTCAGATATTCATTATAGTATTACAATGGAACTATTTACTTTCAAAATGGTTTCGAATATTCAATGCTTTTAAGACATCAATAATTGCAAAATAAATAGATCAAAACCAGTAATTTTGACTGGTACGGTAATTCTAGTGTCAATTGTTCGTGTACTTTCTTTAAGAATTAAATATTAGTAATAATATAGTTGTCAGTTTGATTTACGTTGGAAATTTTACGTTTTACGTTAAGTTGGAAATTTTCACCAGGCCCAACTCGCTGTTACAGGCCATCGCTGGTGAGATCGGAATGGACGCCACGCTCGAGAATATTTCCACAGCTTTGTACAACGGCGTATTGCCCACGGAGTGGGCTAGATTAGCGCCGGAAACGAGGAAGAACCTCGCTGGGTGGATAGAGCACTTCGAGAAGAGGATACAACAATACACTAGCTGGGTAAGATAGAGGACTTTTTAATTAAATTAAGAACTTCTGTATGATGTTTTGTGATGTACGTTACATGTATCATATTTTATATATCTTTTTTGTAATTGAATTCGTTAACTTTGAACAGTGAATTTCTAAAAATCACTAGACTGTGATTTTGATGGATTCATAAGAAATCTAGACATGAAAAAGTTCGTAGAATGTATATAGTGCAAAGGAATATGCAAAATGTCTTAAGTACAATGCTTTTTATAACGTTTGGTAGCAGAAGCCATTTTTTATCATAATTCTATTTTCTTAATTATGTTTATAGAAATTGAAATTTCTGAAAAAAATCCACAGTCTTGTGATTACTTAAAGAAAATTTATGATTCTAGTGAAAAGTGAATAGTAACGATTTGAAATAAATTATATCGTGGTAAGTGAAAGCGTAATATAATTGACGCTGCTATAGGTATTGTTGTAGTTTTAAATGCTTTTATCTGTGTGACGCGGAAATAAAATATGTATTAAAAGGAATAAAGCGATTGAAGTCGCGCGATAATTGCGAGCAACAGGTTCGAAAATGTTTCAGGCCGGGGGAAACGAGCCGATAGTTCTCTGGTTGAGTGGCTTGCACATACCGGAAACTTATTTAGCAGCCCTTGTGCAGATGGCTTGTCGCAGGAACAGTTGGTCTCTGGATCGTTCGCTCACCTACACCGCTGTATCCAGGTATATCAGGCCGGAACAAGTGGAGGAGAGACCGGATCAGGTAAATTGCATCAAAATTAACAATCATGTGAATAATTTAAAAATCTAAGTAGTAGCAAAAGTTTTTTGGGATTATCTCGGAAACTAAAGCATTCCGTTAACAACATATAAAGGAAAGAATTATTCAGAATTATTTCACCAACAACATATTTGCAAAATTATCAAAATCGGAGTAAGCTGAGTACATCGACAACTTGACCTTATCAAATTTTCAGATAATAATTACTATCTACGCTCAGAGGAATAATTGAAATATTGAAATAATCGATGAAATAATTGAAATCGTAGTTAATAGAAGATAATAAATTCTGTAAATATTTCATAGTTGATTGCTTTCTTTCGAATTCGCTTAGGGTTGCTACGTGAGCGGACTACATATCGAAGGTGCTAGATGGGACACAGTGGAGCAGTGTCTGCAAAGATCGCGGCCGAAGATCCTCGTCGAGGAACTGCCAATTTTAATTATCATTCCTATCGAATCTCATAGATTGCGACTTCAGGTATAAAAGGGAATTTCATTGAAATCGTGGAGATATTCTATAGTAACGATACCTTTTAATCTTAGAATACTTTCAAAACTCCTGTCTATACAACGTCGAACCGACGCAACGCTATGGGGGTGGGTTTAGTATTCGAAGCGAACCTTGCGACGAGCGATGACATTTCCCACTGGGTGTTGCAAGGAGTTTGTTTAATATTAAACACAGATTGAATCAAAGGAACGTAATGCGGTTATGAATATTATATGTTATACAGCAGTAACGTAATGATTAAACTATGCTAAGTGTACCGAAATCATTCGAATTACCTTTCAAGGTCAATAATACAGCCAATGCAATATTCAAAAGAACTGCTTCATCCTTATCCTACTTATATGACTACGATAATATAATTATTGTATAGTACTAACTATACTATAGTTAATGTTAGGTATTGCAGTTTTTAATTTTTGTAGGAGAATGAAAAATTTGTACTTGTGTATTTATGAATTATTAACGTGAAATTTTCATTCAGTAGATTTAATTTTTCAATTTTTGAGGAAGAAATTAAAATTTGTAATTTTCTCCAATTCTAAAGTTAACAGCTATTCGATGAAACGATCGGTAGGATAGGTAGAAATTCTTACAGATATATTATTATAGTAATTTATTAACGTCAATCACTGTGCTGGCCCTGTAATCTGAGGTAAGCACAGGTTGTAGAAGGAGCTGTCGACGAAGTCCGCGAGCTTCTGCCATTTCACCCAGTGCTGTGACACTAATTGCTCGTTGCTCTTCGCCTGGCCGACGAAGTGAGGATCCACGATCAGCATGTAAGTGTTTTCCACTCCTTCGTGAATCCCCACAATGCATTTACTTGAGCAATCCATGTCCCCACCCATCATTATCGGGCTACCGAACTCTTGGAAGTGCGTTTTGATAACCGCTATCTGGCCCGATAGCTCTTTGCCGCTCCGCACATGGACAATCTTGCTGAGGACCTCGTACAAATGATTCAACACTAGACACACCTATGAGTCATTCGCCAATGAATCAGTTTTCTGTTTCTTTGTGTATCAAAGTTGCGATATAAACAGTCACTTCAGTTAAGAAAGGTACGTAGACTATTAAAACCGTATGTTAAGCTTATTTTAATAATCGCGTAAAATAATTAAGAATTATTTCAATAATCGTTCCCTTTTCCTTAACTTCGCTGTTACTGTCACTCATTGGGAAACGACAGGAACAAATGAAACAAGGAATAATCTTAAAGAAGTGACGAAGGGGATGCTAATGCTTACTTCGAAGCTCCCTATCCATTCCCTCGACCCAATAAAGGATTTCTCCTTGTCTTCCAGCGCGACAAGTATTTCCTGCACGCCCCTGACACTAGGAGCAGATTGCTCCAATTTCCGGGTCTTCGTGATCCACGAGCAGATCGTCTGCAGCGTTCTGTATCCGCACCCCCAGCCCTGTATATTAAATGATTGCGGGATGAATATTAAATTGGCAAAAGCAACCTACAAAAGTATTGTTCCAAGGACTATTTATTTTAGAAGACAACAACAGAGTGTTGCTCTTAGAAGTACCCTTCACTCTCCATCAATTTTATATCCGTTCGATCGAAATCGAATGAAATGTTAATTCTTAGAGCACAAATTTCATGCAGGTCATAGTATATTCTAGTATATGATAATTCAGTGCTGTGAAATATTTCATGTATTCTCATTTTATCGCGCTTGGAATCAGATACCTTTATCATAGCGGTCAAACTTTTGTTTGGTCTTAGCTTAGTAAACCGATCCATCAAATATTATCATCCGCGGTCTAATTATTAAGGATAAAATGAAATTGGATTTCCCTGTCTTTTGTTGATCTCCGAACAACAATTACAGACCTTATCGTTGAAACCGTCGCAGCCGTAATGCCAATACTCATAATCGCCGCGTACCAGGAAGCTTCTACCTGGCTCGGGCGAAAGAATGTCCCGATGAACATTTTCCAACAGACTGCTCGTGTAATCAACGGTCATTATGTAATCGCGTAACGAGTATCGTCCAAACCTGCGCAAAAAGATTTCTATTTTTCGAAAGACCGGCTCGAATGTTATTCCACCCCTTCTCCTATAACATTGAGTCAGACTTGCGATAGAAATTTTCAACCGAATAAATAAAATATTATTTGTTAAAGTAAACGTAAAATGAAATTCTTTGCTTTTTCCACTAAATTATTAATTAGTAATATAAAGTAGTTACCAAGTATTGTTGCGAAAGAAACGAAAGGTTAACACCAGATCTACAGAACCCGTCAGTTTAGTAGATATTAAATTTTATAAACATTATATAGTAAAAGGATAAATTAATTTTGATCGATACAACCATACGAATACGTAATCCTGAATCTGTTATTGAACCTTTAATTTAACTTTAGCTTACGGATTAACACTAGATTTACTGACATTTACTGTACAGTTTGTTCTATTGTTCTTAGAAAAATTATGATCCGTTTATTTAGATCTTAGAAATTAGAGGTTTAAGAGTAGACAATTGGGATACATATTTGCATAACTGCCTTAATAAAAATCGACTCGAACATTTACCAAATAATTCTTATAAAATTCAATATGAGTCAAATTCACTCGTTCCGTGAATGTAGTGTTAAATATCCGTAAATCTAGTGTTACACCGAATTTTTTAAATTCCTCGTATATGATGGAACGGCTTAAAAGTAACGGGGAGGGCTAAGTTACTCGCGATCAGTTCGGAAAACGGTAACCAGTCCACGCGAGACGGACCAAATGGTAAATGGAGCGCGTTACTTCGTATTTTCCCAGTTTACGAGCGACTCGCCACCACTCCAGTAATTCTCGAACCACCGAAACCGTCAGGTAACTTGCTCGAACGTGTTCGGTAACGAGTCAGTGAATCTCCGATCGCTTTCCATTCGGCGTCATCGAACCACCAGTTCACGGGTTCGCGTGTTACAACGTGGAAACAGTGCGGACACAGAAGTTTCACTCGACGCCATTGTGGGTTTCCAGTGTACATACGTGCGACAAGAATTGTTTGTTTCACACTCGTAATTAACAATCACGAGAATAATCAAATAATCGTACCAATTAAAACAGTGAAAAATATAGGGGACATTTTTCTAAACTTTTAACACGATGATTGCCATGGGGGTCACCGGTGACCAATTAAATCAAATTACTATAATTCATATAAATAATGCTACCTAATACGGTGACATTCACCTAGATGATCACGCAATAATAACAATGCAATTCAATCGAATGACTTAATACGTTCGCGGACGTGAATGCTATAGCATTCATTTCCATTTTGATGCAAAATGACATGAATGCTATAATATTGAAATTTATGGGCCACATTGTCATGAATTTCATTTTACATAGCCTTAACTTTTTGAAATTATTATGCACTTTAACCCTCGGACTACGGCATTTGCATTTTTTCTATTTCTGCGGGTCATTAAAATTTCTACTGTCCGCGAACGTGTTATATTGTATTTTTCCCATTCCGAGTATTTTGTACTATGAAATCGTGCGGCATTCAACGTATTAATAATATTCCTCTCCAACGTGCAGTGTTCTAATCATTGAAAGACCATAAACAATCACCCCAGAAAGTTGATTCGAATTATTTTCTATCGAGTTAACTCGGCTCGTACTTTGAATTCGTAATACCGTTTATAGCGCCCGCCATGCGCAGCCGCGATGCGCGGCGACTGGAGGAATAACGCATCTTGTGGCAGATACATCACAGGTACCGTCTCGCAGCAAAACTTCTGCACGCTCATTGTTCTGAGCTGATAGCCTGAATCACATCCTTTATGATACGCGTGAGAACGTTGCGTCACCTGTTTTCGTCCGCCGCGGAGACTGTGCCAGCAGCTACGTACTCTAAGTTCGGCTCGCAGTCACGCGCATTTCGTTACGCGTTCCTGTTCGTCGCTGTTAAGTACGCGATCGTCAGTTACCTTATCCGACGTTACTGGAACGGAAAGCGTATCGGCGAGACTGATCCCACGGAATGGACGCTGGGCAATTCGTCGCAAAATGTCAGTCGGTCCGCGGAAACCCCCACGGATAAGACAAAGAGACAAACAGTGCTAGTCAGCGGAAAAAGAACTGCGGAGTACGCAGCGCAACGGGATACGTGAGACTCAGCCGAAGGACAAACGATTCACGGGGACGATGATGGGACCGCAGATTTCGTCCACGGTACGTTTACGCGATACGTATCGCGGTTTTATTCGATTAGCGGTAATCAATCCGCGACGGCCACGGGCCGATTTATCGTTACGATTTTGAGAGCTGGCTACGCGATTGTCCAGACCACTTATCGATTTTCTAGCCGTTTGTCGAGAGATTTGAATACATTCGCCGAGAGCGGATGTGTTTAGATTTCGTTAGGCTGATCGTGACCGCCGCTTGTCACTTTCTAGTGAGACCGAAGGTCGAGGATTGGGAATACTGCCAAGTATTTTAGGTTATGTTTATTATCTCACTGAGCTGGGCATCGTAGGTGTTTGTGCGCATTTGAATTCTGAGCGCAGCGTTTGGGGGGACCAAAATGTGTTGGGAGGCTTGCTTCCTTTATCTAGGAGTTTGGTAAACTGAAGAAATGGTATACAGTTCAGTGAACGTTACTGGAGTATTTTCTTCTTTTTTATCATGTATGCTATGAATGTAGAAAGTTTGTAGTTGAATCATTGGGTTGAACATAGTTTGCAATGGTTTGTGATGCGTAATAAATGTCAGAATTGTTTTG